GTAGCAAAGGTAATATCCAGAACTTCCTGCCTAGCTTTGGTAGCGAAGGTTGGATTACAGCCTTTATTGAGTATTTGTAGATCGTTAGCTAGGAGAAAATCTAAAAGTAACTCACCTCTTTTGTTGGTACCAGTACTGCCCCAGATTGTGTGATGGGCGTTTGCATCGCAGCCAACAATTAATTCTGTCTTGTGTTTTCGAGCGTAGTCGACGACTTTAGACAGTTCTTCGGTGGGGTTGGCTTTCTCTCCGGGCAGGTAGGCCGAGCACACCAGTGCTCTAGTTTGACCACGCCCTCTGAGAACGGTGATTGCAGCGACCATGTCATCACTGCAAAGTTCTGTAACAGGCAAGAAATTAATACCTTTCTTAAAAACGATACAGGCCCTAGGCTTGGTGCCATTTTCGTTTGCTAGGATCTTACCTACTCCATTTAAGCCCGAGATCTTGGACTTGGCGTTAAGCCATGGTTCCTGGACCAGCGCTATATCCATGCCATTTGCCCTAAAAGTGTTTTCTGCCACGGCTGTGGCAGCGATAGCGTGGTGTAAATTGGCTTGGAGTATTTTAGTGGGGGCGTCGCCAGTTGGGTGTGAAGCGCTACTGGGGACGGGCCCCATTGCGCTTGTCACTGCCCTTGCTGGGTCTGGGTCCCTTTTGTTTACGGGGGCGCTGGCTCTTGCCTCTGGGGGTTTGTCCACCCCTGGTGTGCCCCCCTGTACGAGGAAACCTGTGCGGAGTACCAGTCGCTCCGCTGGTCCCGGTCACAGGAGCCACGCCAGGTGCAGCAGATGGTAAAGGCGCAGCAACGCTGGCGTTTGCTCCAGCAGCCGCGGCCCCAGAACGAGAGGTAGACGGCACAGGTTCAGAGGGAAGTGTCCCAGGATTCGTTGGCGTCTGGTTGATGCCCTTAATACGGAACTGGACCGATTTGAAAGCCAAGTAGGCCTTCATGCCGGTTTTTTGAAGGGTCTCAACAGATTGGTCGTCGATGGAGAGGGTGAGTGTGATTCCGCCCTTCTCCGCCTTTTTGTTGAGAACCTTCCACAGTTCCGTATTAAGGCCATCATTTTGTATCCGGAGACAGGAGAGCGCCTGGTCGACGTCTTTTGACTCCGGATCAGGGATGTATACTACCCCAACCTTTGGTTTGGGCAAGTCACTCTCATTAATGAGAGCGAGCTTAGCTCCTGGCCACGGCTGTAGGGTGGGTATACAATTTTCAAGCCATTCCCTGGCGTGCTGGTTGATGCAGGTAATGAGCAGCCAGCCTGGCTTGAATGATAGCCCGCCAAAGGCAGGTCCCTTACCCTTCTCCGAAGTGGTGATTTTGGCCACGATCGCATTATAAAGTGACTGCAGCTGTGCGTCAGTCATGGGAGTGGAGTCCCTCACACCAACTTTGGAGGAAGATAAGGCCGCACTATAGGCAGCTGGAGGTGGTGGGGCCGACGGTGCTTCGCTCGACCTTTGGGACTTCCTCACTGGTTGTCCCTGTGGTGATTCCTCCTCCGAGCGGGTCCTTTTGATGGAGCGCTCGGGTTCTGGTTTCGAAGCATCGAATCGATACCCCATAGCCCTGAATTTGAAATTACCTTATTTATTTTATGCAATTCTCGTCATAACTCGGTTTTCGATTTTAACTCAAACTCAAACTCTGAGTATTTAAATTGGGCGGTAGTGTTTAACGACCCGCATTTACCGTAACTAAAAAATGTGTGTAGTAAATACGAGAATGTTCTATGCGCCAAAATAAAACTTATTAGAAGTTCCATCAAGTAATATCCCCGAAAATTTTATTTGTATTAATTTATTATTATAACGTTAGTACGTTACTAGCTACCGTCTACGGACTCGTCCCATGTTTAGTACTAGAAAAATACACCTGTGACCAAAATATGAGAGCCGACAAATCCTCCTCCTCCATCATCATTCATCCGGACTTTATATTTTTAAAGTTACAAATGGACAGAAGGTTGAAGAAATACAAAAACTTAAAGCTTTATTCGAATCAATCAATAGCTCTATAGTAATGTGAGATTAAAAAATTGGGGCATACACAAAAGTTAACTCATAAAATTCTCCAAAAAAACTTTTTAACAAAAAAATAAAAACCGACTTCAAACAAAAGCACTAAAAAGTAAAAAATAACTGATTGGTAGTTTTCATTTACTATACATAACTAATCGAATATTTTCGAAGTCGGTGTGCTTTGCTTTGTATGGGCTGGCACCGATTTCAAAAATATTTGATTAGGTATGTATTTAATAGGTAGGCTTTAATTACTTAGCCAAAACACACCGACTTCGAAACCCGAGCGAAGCGAAGGTGAGTCGCTAGTTTTAACATAAGTTTATTTTATTTTAACACAAAACATATTTTACCTTTTAAACGTTTTAAACGTTTAACGAAAATGGGAGTGTAATTTGGTTCAATCATTTATAGATTTTAACCTCATATATAAATTGGAGTGATAAAACGTATGTTACTGACTCAACTTTAGCTCTAAATTGTGTCTAAACTTAAACTTAATGGGGGCCGGAAACTTACTCGTAGTTCCAGAATTGAACATTCCGCGATCTTAGGTCCTTCCTACACATTCGAGTGAACCGATATAGATCATTCGATAAATTGATGTTATTCTAAAGTGAAAAATATTTCTTTAAGTAGTGCTCGCAAATTGAATGCAGAAGTAATAAATTAGTGAATTGGATAGGCATGCATTTTTTTTACTTATGTTTCTTATAGTGTGTAATTACAAAAAAATAGGATTTGCTTACATCCATACTAATATTATAAATGTGAAAGTGTGTTTGTTTTGTTTGTTTGTTTGTTTGTTTGTTTGTTTGTCTGTCCTTCTTTCACGATATGATTTTTTGTGTGGAGATAGTTGGAAGGTTGGAGAGTGACATAGGCTACTTTCTACCGCGGGAGATTATCTCATTCCCAAGGGAAAACACGTTATAATACAATCCAAAAAAATATTTATGATCACAAACTTACTTGAAACTTGGCATTAATGCTCTTTAATAAAATTAAATGAATAGGGAAGATGCATGCAAAATGATCCCCTTAAGGGAAAATCTTTACTGTGTTCAAAGTTTTAGACAAAAACACAAGATTTAAATTGTTAAGAATAGTGAATTTACTTATCTTTGTAGCTGCATACTTATTTGTGATGATACTCGTATGTACGTGGTTTATTAGTTTCGAATTTCTTTTTAAAGTTTAGTAACGGATCGTTTTATACATACATATGTATAAAACGAATCCCTAGGAAGGATTAAAATGATCCCAGGGATCATTTTATACCCTAAAATATTTAATATTAACAAAATAAACCACCCAGCTGTTTATTTTAATCATACGTATTAAACTTAAAATTACTTAAAGCAACAAAAACATTTAAGCGTGTTATACATAACATTTTAAGTCTCGAGTTACATTGGAGATCATCTTTTTACGACTAAATCAACAAAATTAAACGTTAAACAATTGTAACAAACGATTTAAGGTTTATATACTTAACTAACAAAATATAAATAAACAAATAAACTCTTCTACATAATTAAAAAAAACAATAAAGACGTTTACAATTGTAAACTCTCGTCATGATCTGTAAAAATAACAATTCAAAGTAAAAAAACATTTTTAAAACAAGCTTTAATTTAAATGCTTTAAAGAGAAAAAAAATTTAAAACAAATCAAACCCATTTATTTATTACATTACTCAATTAATAAGATATAAAAGCGGAGTTCCAGTGGCAAATTTTTAGCTTCATCTTCAGACCCTCGTCATCATATGTAATGGAAATTATTCTTGATAAAAAAATACCAGCCCAAATTTAACTGTCCTACCATTTGCCATCAAGTAATTATAGTCTCTACACCCCGGCTCCATCATCAGATCAGCTCGATGGTATCATAATATTGCATTGTCACTGGACTAACATAAGTATGCAAAATTTCAGCTCAATCGAACACCGGGAAGTGGGTCAAATTTAACGTTCAAAATCGTTCAAAATCAAACGTACATACACACATATATACATACAGACATACATTACAAGTTAAATAAAAGTTTTTAAAAATACTAATGGGGTAATATGCTTCCAGGGATCGTTTTATGCACACGAAGAGGGATCATTTCACCTCAAACACCAAATTTCAATACATCGATCAAAATATAATCTTCAAATACAATGTGCGGTATTCAAACATTGCTTAAATATAGCTGAACATTAATGGTATCCGCCAAAAAAACAATATTTCAATAAATCTTAACATGCAGAAAGTAATGAAACTCGGAAAATAGACTTACCATAGGTTAGAAACACGTTTTTTTAATTTTTCTGAATAAAACCAATCTAAGTGTTTACACCGTCATGACACTCGGAGAGGCAACTGGTGGAGTTGCGGGGATTATGTTTGTTACGTATTTGAATTGATGTTGCTAGTAGTTATTCGTATACGGTGGGGAATCATTTTACCTCGAGGGATAGTATTACACGCATTTCCCCTACGTGTTTTAGCATTTTTCGAAATTCATTCTATACGACTGCACGAATTTAGCCCGCTTTGTAACACTATTTCTCACTACCACAGGTTGGCTGGAAGAGATCTCTTCTAGAGATAAGTCCACCTTTGTAAATAACAACTGATTTTAAATTACTGTATTGATTTTTTTTAAAGTGCATTAAGAATAGTATATAAGAGGGTAAAATAGGAGATAAAAGTTTGTGTGAAACTACCTTTTTAGATCGTTTTAGCGCGAGCGAAGCCGCGGGTTATGCTAGTTATCTATATATTTGTAGGTCTTGATGACGATATAATTCATAACATAGTTATATTTAGGTGTAGGAAAAGAAAAACTAAATAAAATCAAAAGATCATTTCACTATTTAGCAATTGAATATTTGTGGTATCAAATGTTTTAAAAGAAAACTCGGCATATTTTAATAATTTAAATAAATAATATAAACTTTCAGATGAGTTGATATATGCCTACATATGTAGGTATGTTTTAATTTTTATTACTGTTATGGCCAATATTTATAATATGTAAATGTAATATATTATATTGCAAATATTTTAGTAAACATCATATTATCGTGTCAGGTATTGATGAGTCTGGTCACCAGGAAAACCAGTTTAAGACATACAAAACAAATTTCAAGTCAATATAATAAAAAAAAAATCATTTCGTTAAGTTATTCAAACTACACTTATGAGGACTAAGTAAATAATAAAAAAAAAACTAATAAAAAATAATATGTCGTTATAAAACTAGAATATGATTCGAAATGGTCAATCAGGATGATAAAATCCAGTAGATGGCAAGCTTGACAAAGCGGTAACCGAGTGTTGTTTTTGTGCAGTACTCGCGGGAGAGACCACGGAGGTCTCGAGTGTGCCTTCGCTCGCCGAACCCTCACCTACTAAACTTCCAAGTATGTCTAAAATTACACACGCTTCAATAAGATCTCGAAACGGTAAAAAAGAAAGTGAAATAACGGAAAAATAACGTAATGTCGGTATGAAAATAAGAATCGTTATCGTTAAAATATCGTTCGATGAAAATGTATGGTGTAGTTGTTTGTGTTTATTCTATTACATCTTCTTCCTACTTAGTTTACTATTGTACTGTTTGATATAGAGATCTTATTCTAGCTACTTTAGAGTACCTATTAGAGTTGCACTCTTGAGTTCATTCCAAGCACTTGCCATTACTCCTCATATTGACTTATCAGTCACAAATATATGAAAAAAAAATTCTTTGGAGAATATTAAAAGAAATATAGTATGCACATAATATAAAATATGAATGCTTATTTGTATAATTTTTAATAATATCGTATTTAGCTAGTCAGATGCTTGGCAGTAGTCTATTTACTCTTAAATGAGCACTTTTAAGCACGGTAGTTTTTTTAGTATCTATGTTTAATTTAATATCTATATATATAAAAGAAAGTCGTGTTAGTTACTTCGCTTATAACTCAAGAACGGCTGAACCGATTTAGCTGAAAATTGGCAGGGAGGTAGTTTAGAGCCAGGAGAAGGACATAGGATACTTTTTATCCCGTTCGACCGCGTTCAGATTTTTATGATATTTTAATTTTTGGATTTCTCTTAGTCCGGAATAGGTAAGTATTAAAACATATAATTAAAATGTGAGAAAGAAAGATTTTTTCTTTTTATATCTATTTAAAACGTACCTAGCGACGAACCCGAGCGAAGCGAGGGTGAGCCGCTAGTTATAAATATGAAAGTGGATGTTTGTTACTCTTTCATGCCAGAACGACTAAACGGATCTGGATGAAATTTGGTACAGACATAGACTATGGTCTGGAATGACACATAGGCTTTTTATCCCGGAAAAATGTATGGTTCCCGTGGGATAGGTATGTTTTTGTTTGTTAATTGAAATTATTACTTGTATTGATAAAATTAATATTTGACTAAATAAATAATGAATTTTCAGAGATACACAGTAATCTCAAATAGTATTTAAATGACAATATATTATAACCGCTTAAAAATTCAGATGAGTTGCTATATGCCTACGAGAAATGTTCTCCTGACCGATTCCGGCCACGGCGGAAAATATCATTGAGACTAGCCAACTGCGCAGGAGATATTACAGTGCACAAGTGTACGCGCAGACAAAAGTTCCCAACCCCGGGCTGTTACTGAGGCTTACTATACAGAAAGACTCAATAACTAAACTTGGCCCGACCCGGGACTCGAACCCAGGACCTCCGGGTGTTCAGCCGTACATGCTAGCCGCTACACCACCGAGGCAGTTGTATGAGTATGAGGTTTATATGTGTATCTGTAGGTAAATAAACAAACTTAACTTTAATAATCGCAAAGATCCTTACCGCACTTTAATCCTGTCGTAATGAAGACATTAATCGAGTCTGGCGTAAGCCCTTACGCGGCCAACAAACTTTTAATGGGCATACGAACTGAATAAAATAACATGATATATGACGAAAAGAAAATTAATAAACATTCACGTTTTTAGTTCAAATTTTTACAATTTTGTAATTTTTTATGAAAAATAACTTAAATTTCGTCGTTGAAGAAGTAGTATTTTAATGAATTCAAAAGTTTCTATATATAGGTAGAATCAATTGTAGATTGTGTACTGGAGGTTTTTCCACATAAAATTAATGAATGAAGGAGAACGAATACGACCTAATCAATATATTTATATACCACAGAATCACTTCTCTTCATTCTCTCCACTTCTATATAATATGAAATATTCAAAACTAGCGGCTCACCCTCGCTTCGCTCGGGTTCGTCGCTAGGTACGTTTTAAATAGATATAAAAAGAAAAAATCTTTCTTTCTCACATTTTAATTATATGTTTTAATACTTACCTATTCCGGACTAAGAGAAATCCAAAAATTAAAATATCATAAAAATTGGAACGCGGTCGAACGGGATAAAAAGTATCCTATGTCCTTCTCCTGGCTCTAAACTACCTCCCTGCCAATTTTCAGCTAAATCGGTTCAGCCGTTCTTGAGTTATAAGCGAAGTAACTAACACGACTTTCTTTTATATATATAGATGTCGTCTCAAGCGCTAAATAATAACACGTTAACTTATTTTATAAATTCGGCATTATACTCATAAAATTTTATTTCCTAGCACGCGAAAAGTGTTTGTTTTTTTTCTTTAAAATAAAGTAGAGTACCCCAAGTAAAAATATAGTAATTTCTTGGATTTATCAGTTTAACTTTGTTAATAAAATAAAAAGACCGAACTCTTCTAAAGAATCTTCTAATTTAACCAATAGTTGAATCTTTATCGTACTTAGAGACTTTATCAATTCTGTCCACCAATGGGAAACGCGAACGAAAATGATATTGTTACGTTCTATGAGTTCGGGGATCGGAAATTAAAGCACGTCTTTTGCACTATTGATGTTTTATTGATCTTGGTTAACAAGAGTGACTTATGGAGATTCACTAACACGCGCAGTGTACAGAGTTCTGGTTAAACTCAGTCACTTAACACTAATTTTCACCACTAGATTTTCACTATCACTCCACTACACTCCACTTTTTTCACTTTTCACTTTTTTGCACTTATTCTCAATCTTCACTTAGCTTCGAAATTCAACTGATCTCTCGACATACTGCCGGCCTTTATATGCATAAACAAAGAATATTCTTGGTCTAAATTTCAAAACTTCTATTAATTTCATTGCCTTGCTGGATTTTTTGGCAACTGTCTTAGGATGTATAAAGCATGCTTCAGACGTGTCTTTTTAATTATTGTTGATGTAATGACATTACACACTTTCCTCTACGCGACAATATAAAAGATTAGTGACCTACCATCCAAGCTTAACAACATCAAAGCCCACTATGCCACATTATAAACGGTTTCAAATTAACATGACTTTTGAAAAAGTTTACATTTCCACTGCCTTTTGATGCTTTGTCCACAAGTCACTCGCAGACGTGTAAGCGAAATGCCCAAGAATTTCCTTTTTGCAGCAAAACGGCATTTCGTTGACTGTACGTTTATTTCTGCTTTCCTTAGTGCAACCTTTTGTTCTATTTATAGCTTTAGATCTTAACTGTAGATCGAAGTTTCATACAATTATGAAAGATCGTTATAAATTATATTGGAATTTTAAATGTAAACTTTTTAATTATAATAGCTTTATAAATATTTCCCTTCATACCTTAAAAGCTCCATAAATCATCTTTAATATACCCTCAATCGCAACGATGTTGAGTTTTTTGTGAATACTGACATTTATCAAGCACGTGAAATCGATTAATTATATCTTTAATGGTATCTCATTAAGTAGTTTATTTTTTACTTTCAAACATTGTTAATTTTTTTATAAATTGAGTACATCAGATGTTAGCTCTTTGCGGACTAGTACGAATATAGAATGGATAGTGACTACCAAGTACGAGAGCGCGTTAAAACCAGGCAGGTAGGCAAGAGACTTAGGCTACACAGCAAATAAAAAATTGACAGACATATTATGTAGATTAATATGTCCACACTCGAAAACCAGTACCTTTCTTTTTTGGCAGTTGGTTAAAAATTAGTATTCATGATGTTTATTCTATCTATCACTGCAAGGACTCTGCATACATACGTGACTATTTTTTTTATATAACTATTTAATATAACTAATAACTATTTTCCCTTCCTAACAGGAAAAATAAAAATAAATTTAAATACTTAGAAAAGCGTTTTAAACAAGCTGTCTAAAATGTGGTCGCATTTTATCTCTGTTGTTCAGGAACAAAAAAATACAAACAAAAGACGGATTTGTTCATGTTTACGAGAGATTTAGCCGCGTTTGTGACTTCTGTTTTAATTTTCAGTGCACGCTGGTAGCCATATTTTCATCTAGCCTTTATTTTCATAATTTTGTTGCCTCTACTCTAAATTATATAATTTAATTTGTGTTTAATCGCGTAGTTTTCTGTCATTTTCTTGCCTTAATTTAGTTAAAAGATAAATTAATGTAAGATGTTAATAGATTCAGTGTTTTATTAGTAAGCTAACTGCGCACGTACGTACTTGAGAAATATTTTGCTATAAGTTTATTTTATTTTTTTAAATATCTTTATTTAATCAGCATTTCATCTTTTCATCAAATCATTAAATTAAGTACATTTTTAGTGTAAATTTAATCCTAGAAGGACATATTATTATATACTATTATATTTGTTCAACAAGTACTACACAGACTTATAAAAAACATAGCAAAAGGTAACACGTGCATATAATAATTATTATTAATGATTGAACAGTAGATATATCATTTTAAATAAAACTATCTATTCGGATTATTTCGCGGATTTATTTTGATTTTTATTTTAATTTTTGGTTTTGATTTTAGGTTTAAAATAAATCCGCAGAATAATCTGAAAAGATAGTTTTATTTAAAATGTCAAATATTCGCGTAAATCTAAGAAAGTATTAGTAAGTATATCATTTAAAGTATGTAGGCTTTAGAAAAGCGATTATGTTTATAGCATACCTAAGTAAAATTTGCTATAAGTAATAAGTATCCCACAGGAGTAAAATAGTACATGGACTTAACAAGTAGCTTATTTCACTCATATACTTTATACGATTATTTCTATTTCCTAAATCAAAATCAGTTATTAAGATCATATATAAATAGACTTAGACTACAGAAAATATGAGACTAAAAACATGTACTGTATTCAGCCCTTTTTAACGTCCCACAGCTGGGGGTGGGCCCTTCAATACGAGGGGGATCAGGCCATAGTCCACCACGCTGGCCAAGTGCGGGTTGGCGGACTTCACACGTCTTTCGAAAACTTGCTACGTTTTGTCAGATATGCAGGTTTCCTCACGATGTTTTTCCTTCAACGTAAGGCAAATGGTAATCAAGTTAGAAATGATTCGCACATGAAAATATCAGAGGTGCGAGACCCGGGATTTGAACCCGCTTCACTAGGTTTCCCAAGCGAGCGCGTTACCGCTAGACTACCACTGCCTTCTAAAAACATACGAATATTAATTCGTGTTGTTTTATATTATTTAGTATTTGTACTAGTTTTCTTTTGAGAAAAGGCAAATATTAAATGTTTATGTAGCACTTAAAAATATCACGATAATATCTTTGATTATAAAATCAATTTCTCTTTTAGTATAGCTTTAGTTAATTCTGTCGTCAACAATATCATAAAAATTGTCTATAAGATTGGATCGTTTGAAACTTGAATAAAATCAGATAAAAGCGGTTTATTGAAAGTTCATTTTATCGTGATTGAAATATCAGAGGCATCAATCTTATGAAGTTTTTATGGAAAATATTAACATATAAATTTGATATACCTATCTTCGTAAGAACGAAATCATCCTACTTTAGTAACGTGTTAAGCAATCGTATGCAAATATAACTAAGAAGCACCGAAGGAAATAGGTTGGTGCCCAAACCTCACTATTACAACATCAAGTGTCTTCACTGCATTTTACTGTAGGTAGTATTGCTTAACTAGATTTGCCTATAATATAATGAGTAAAAATTCATAATTTGGATCTGATGACACAATTTTTTACAAGTAGACGATTTCATAATAATGTTCAGACAAGGATGGAAGGATAATTAACGTTTTAACTAAGAGAAACTATGAAAACAAAAAAAAACTCATATGTACGACTGTAAGCCGCCTGTGGCTCCAACTGCTTGTGGATCACTAAACTTAACCCTTGTTACTTTAGCTTAACTAAGCTTTTTTTATTGTACAAATAAAAAAAACCCTTTACGATATTAATTTATGTAACTAGCATCATAGTGAAGGGCCAACGTTCTTCCACTTAATTAAAAAATGTGATCATAATTTAAGAATTATAATCTATCTAGATAATCCTTTTCATTGATCAAAACCGTATAAAAATCTGTACAGTAGTTTTTCAGATTAGTCCAAAGAAACACAAGCTCAGCGCGGCGAAGGACTTTAATTTCTAATACATAATAATAATGTTAGATTCATAAAGTGGTCTTATAAATAATATCTGGTTGCAGAGTGCGACCGTACGTTCGTGAGTCGCGGCGGCTTCAGCAACGGAACGTTCCACGCGCCCGAGCTGTTCAATCCGAACAATCAGAGCCGCCAGTGCCTATACACGTTTCTCGCGGCGCCGGGCCAGCGAGTGCTGGTAGAGTTCCGAACCTTCGATCTACGAGGGAAACCACCGGAGTAAGTTTCTCATAATTTATCCAAGGTATATCGACGACACGTTTGGCTCAGTGTGTAGTGGCCCTACTTGCTGTGTCAGCGGTCGCGGGTTCGAGTCCAGCTGGGGGCATTCATTGTGTGATGAGCACGAATGCTTGTACTCCAGTCATGGGTTTATATTAATAATATGTATGTATTTAAAGTTTATATATGTGTAGTGTAACAACTATCTGGTATCCATATTACAAGCCTCGTAGCTTACCATGGAACTAGATGGTGCTATGTGTTAATGTTCCAACATATTTATTTATATCTTTGTGTTGTAGTTGAGACGGCGAAATCTTGTAGAGCTCTCATAATTTGGGTAGCTGGATAAAAAATTTGCCCATTTGTAAGATTCTTAATCTAATTAATTATTTTAATTGTAATTTCTTCTGATAAAGTGATAAACCCATTACCTAATATGTTATGAAACCAATTTTGTCAATTCCCATTATCAAAGTTTTACTTACAAATATCGATTTTCATTACTTATTCTAATGGCTGTTTTTGTTTTTCTAGTGGAGCGGCAGTCGGGGAGTTTCCAGCGTGAGTATCACTATCTCTTTCTTTTGTTTTTAAATTATAAGGATAGTCATATGTTTTTCTACCAACTAAAGGGTAGAGGTAGGAGAAATAGGTCAAATATTTACAACAAATCGTGCTTCGAAAAGGCCGCTTGATTTATTCACATTATCTGAAACTTATAGTTCAGGAAGCCCGTATGGTAAACAATAAATTTACTATTAGGGAAGTTTCTAACTTTTGCTTTTGTGCCCTAAAAATCAAATGTCAGAAAAGCTAATCGTTATGAATAAATCATCTAAAAATATCGCGAATCTGAAAATATTTTTAACAAACTTATAACCTATAACATAGATGACTATTTTAATTATAAATACCTTATAACTAATGGTGCGTTCAGCGTTGCACTGAGCAAGTAGGTACTCTGAGAAGAATATACCTAAAGCCTTTATACATTTTTTTGGCAACTTCGAAAACTTTACTAAAAAATCTATACTTACCCTAATGGTTAAAAAGCAACTTTTGTGAGTTCAACACGTTATGTCTGATGTACATACATATTGCGTACAGATGCATGCACGAGTACATGGACATCTATTCGGAGATGGCGTCACTGGAGGCCGTGGAGCTGGTCAACTCCGCCTTCGGTGGACGTTTTTGTGGACCGATCCCACCACGCCGCCGCGTATCCCTTCACCGAGCAGTCGCGCTCGCATTTTTTACAGATCATACATATACGCCGCCCACGCTCTTCGCAGGAACCTACCGTTTCATCAACGCTTGTGAGTAACTCTTGTTTTATTCTTTAATATTTTGGTTATTTCTGAACGAATATTAAGCTTACTCTACATGTATTAAAATAATAATTAATAATTATGTTTTCTTGGATTAACACGAATATTTCAATATGCGAATATTGATACCAAAATACTTATCTTAAATGCTGAAAAAACAATAGTACTGCTTCTTAAGGAATATCTACATTTCCAGCCGAGTTCGAGGTGGGTACACCAGTCCAGAACACTTTATGCTCGTTCATGATCGAAGCGAGCAAACGCAAGACGGGGCTGTTGCTGTCGCCGACGTATCCAGGAATCTATCCCAAAGACATGACATGCAACTATCAGTTCGTGGGACAGGCCGGCCAGCGCATTCGCCTCGAGTTCCGAGACTTCGACCTGTTCTTCGGCGGACCTCAGTAATTTTACCTTTTTTTATCTCAAACAATATTTTGTTAACTCCTATTACGTATGATATGCTGTTAAATTATTCTACATTATGGAATTGAAGAAAGGTGTAAAGTTTAATACAATCTCTGCGCAGCAAAATAGAAAGGACAAAAAAGATAGTTTTAAAATATATACCTAGATAGGTAGAAAAAAATATAATATAAACTAGTATATGGCATTACAAAATTTGGATAAGACAAGTTTACAATAATACTTAGTTGTAGCCCCCTAGCCCCTATAATACTAAAAATTACATGAATCTCTTTTTACGTCATCCTTCATATTTTCTATATTCTTTATCTATCTATTTGTTCTCACAATAAAGCTGCCCGTTCGACTGGGTGCGCGTGTACGACGGGCCCGACAACACGTCAGCCGTCATCGGCACGTACTGCGGGCAGCAGCGCAACCTGGTGCTGTACTCCAGCGACGAGCGCCTGTTAGTCACCTTCTTTACTTTGCCGCGATCGGCCAACACGCAGAACCGCGGTTTCAAGGGTATCTTCGAGTTTTCAGAGAGTTTTGTTAAATTAGGTGAGTAAGAAATTATCATGTTTTTGGTTTTTAGTGTTCCGTACCCAAATAGTAAAACGGAATCCTATTACTAAGACTCCGCTATCCGTCCGTCTGTCACCAGGCTGCATCTCATGAACCGTGATAGTTAGACAGTTGACATTTTCACAGATGATGTATTTCTGTTGCCGCTATAACAAAAAATACTAAAAAACAGAATAAAATAAATATATAAAGGGGTTCCCATACAACAAACGTGATTTTTTTTGCTCGTTTTTGCTCGATAACGGCAACGGGTAGACGCTTGAAATCTTCAGAGAATATTTAGTTAGGTATATATTTACTTTAAAAGTAAATAATTAAATTAAAATAGAGCTCCCATACAACAGATATGGTTTTTTGCCGTTTTTATAGATAATGCTACGGAACCCTTCGTGCGCGCTTGGCCGGTTTTTTAATTATTTTTTTATTATGTTTAAGAATGAAGTTCTCTTTTGCATATTTTTTATGATACAAGAATTTTAGATTAAACAAAAGCCTAAACGTTTAAAATAACGAGAATATTAGTACATAAAATGTTTTCTTAGATATCGATATACGTATTATTCTATTTATTTTCATTTTTCATGATATAATGAGCGTAGACAAAGCGCCTAATGAAGCTGAACATTAACTATATTGGACATTTATTAGCCTTATTTTTCTGCTCGAAATTCTCGGAAAGTCTTGTTCTATGAAACTCGATAACCTTTTATAATATTATTTTTATATTCCAGATTTTATAAGTAAACATGACGCCGAGCACATTAGGGGCTCAGAGTGCGATCAGAAAATTCTTAGTAAAAAAGAATCTACAGGATTCGTGTACCATCCAAATTATCCATTCCCTTATATACAAAAAGTTGTTTGTAGGTAAGTAATTTAGTATACAGGGTTGAACACGGGAAAGTCTTACAGTTTGATAAATTTAACATTTTATTATTTTCAGATATTTTATATATGGTATGCAAGACTCACAAAATTTGGAAAGAGTCCGATTGGAGTTTCAGAACTTTTCTATACCAAAAGGAGAGCCTGGGAAAGGAGATCAAGCGAAATCTGAGTAAGTGTTTGAACTGACACTTAAAACAAATTAGTAACATTATTATAGAGGCAGTGGTAGCTCAGTGGTGATGGACTCGCTTGGGTAACCGAGTGAAGTGGGTTCAAATCCCGGGTCTCACACCTCTGATAATTTAATGTGCGAATTATTTTCACCATGATTACCACTTATCTTATGATGACGGATAACTTTGTGAGGAAACCTGCATGTCTAAAAGAACCTAAGAAGTGTAGACTTGGCCAGCGTGGTGGACTATGGCCTGATCGTCTTCGTATTGAAGGGAGGCCCACCCCCAGCAGTGGGACGTTAAGAAGAGCTGAATACAATATTATTGGATTCTATTTCTTATCACATTCACTTAAATAGCAATTTAATTTAGAAATGTATTATTTGGTTTAGGACGTGTCTAGATGGTTACCTGAAAGTATATTTACGTGGTCAAGAAGCGACGGACTCATACGACAAGCACGATGCGGAATTGTGTGGAGAAAGTTCTCCCGATCCCCCGATCTATCCTCCACCTCTGTTGTCCGACGGGCCTAGATTAGTCATGGTGTTTAGTTCCGGCGAGCTGCAGGGTCGGGGGTTCAAAGCTAAATATACATTTGAGACTGGTGAGTTACATGGTCGCTTAATTAAATTGTAAACAGGGGACTTAGTGAAGATTTTATTCTAGATCTAGATCATTGAAGAACATACATTTTGAAAATTGTATTGGAAAGACGAAAAATCCTTGTCGTAGAATCAATATGTTATTCTCATATAAATTTTCTTATTTTTTTAATGATTATTATTGAATAAAATCTTGTCTGAGACCTCAGATTAAATATAGATATGACTTAGTACCTATTTTCTCGATTACAAAAGTTTAGTTATTTTAAAATAGTTTCTGTATAATTTTGAACAACAAACACTAAGAAGTAAATTCCAATTTGTGTATTGTAGAATACCGTGTACCGGGAACTGCCGCTCCAGGAGGTGAATGCGCGTTCACATATCGTTCTGAAGCGAAAAAGCGAGGAGATTTCAACTCTCCGCGCTACCCCTCCAACTACCCCTCGCGCACCAACTGCACGTACACCCTCGTGGCGACACCCAACGAACAAGTCACCGTTGTGTTCGATCATTTCAAAGTGAGAGCGGATTCTTGGAATGCCACTGCGGGATTGTATGGGTAAGAAATGTTAAATTTGAAAACTTAATAAAATTGCACTTTAATTACAATTTTTTTTTCTTTATTGGCTTATAGTTGCATTAACAGGCGCAATCCATTCTGCCAGTGTCACGTTTAGTGAGGAAGACACGAATGATATTGAGCGGTAATTTTGAAATTTGGTAACTTTAATGTGGAATTAAAACTATAAATTAATGATCGGTCTACAGGAGTAACCTACAACAAAATAATTATGTAATACAAAAATGACATATTGAAAATGAAAATAATTAGGACTATATTATAATTTAATTTTATTATCTACTATAAAATTAACTACTTTGTTTAATAAATGGGCTAAAAACCAGGGCTAATAAGCATTTGGTGTTAACTGGGCGGTTAATTTGAGGAGGTATTATATCATGTAGAGAATATTTTAAATTGAGGCAATTAAAGAGAATATGATCAGTCGAACCCTCATCTAAGCCACATTCACAAATAGAGCTATTTCTAATTTTTAATTTAGCTAAATGAACTACAGTTTTTTATTTAAAAAAGTATTGATACCATACTGACAATTTAATCTTTGAGTGGCACAGTTTATTTTGTAAATCAAGTGATTTTTGGGCGATATTAGCTATATATTGGGCATATTGTTATTGCGGAAGTAAGTGAAGGATTCACGATAAACAAGGGCAGATTGTTAGTTATCTACATAATTGAGTTTTATTAATAGATAATATTTATTATGCACAAAAATATCATTTTTTTCGTCTTTTTTTACATGGCAGAGAATGCTATGTAAAAAAGACGACAAAAAATGATATTTTTTTTTATTTCATAAAACGTAAAATGACTCGAATAATATGATTTATTTTTTAACTAGACCAGATAGAGTAATAGAACCTCATTAGATAGGTACTTCAAATAAAACTATCTTTTCAGATATTGTCATAATTTTATTGTAAGTTTTGCGTTTGAATTTCGAAACGTCAGAACATTTCGAATGCTTTACAGCTGAAATATCGCGACAAAATCCGAAAAGATATCTTCAAGTCAAATACTTCCGTTTTAATGAAGTAGATACCTATTTTTAGTTTAATTATATATGTACATATGTATATTTCAGCGGCGCGACATGCAGCGAGGACTGGGTGGAGGCGTGGTGGACGGGGCGCGAGGGCAGCCGCGTGCCGCTGGGGCGCTGGTGCGGGCCCGCCACGCCCGGCCCGCTGCAGTCGCCGCGCGGCGCGCTGGGGCTTCTCATTGCGCTGCACACTGATCATGATTCTGTGGCTTCAGGGTTTAAAGCGAGATATGTGTTCGAGGTGAGTGTTTTGGAGCTTTTGAACATGCAGGATAACCTTTAGAAAAATCCTATAGAACTATTCAAGCATCTATTCGTATTTATATAAATAATAAAAACATATTAATATGAAACCATCACAGAATTAAATTTACAACACTATATGTGTAGTAGAAAGGCCAGTAAAACACATAAGACATAGTTTACAGTAACATTAAGGTCCTTTCCTTCCTAATTAAGTTTAATACACGCTGAGCGAACTTCCTTTTAGTGATGGTACACTGCTGTTTAGATATCTATACTAATATTATAAAGAGGTAAAGTTTGTGAATTTGTGACGTTGTAGGGGTAATCTCTGGATCTACTGAACCGATTTAGATGAAATTTGATAAGGAGATAGTTTGAGCCCTGGGAAAAACATGGGATACTTTTTATCCCGGAAATCATCCCTTAAAGGGGATTTAAGACCCTTAAAAGGAACTTGGGATGAAGGTTTGTATAGGAATCAAGCAAGGGACGAACCCGAGCGAAGCGATGGTTAGTCACTAGTCATTTTATATATTTATTTTATCTTTTATCAATACATTTCTTGTTAGATGATCTGTTATTTATAAGTCTATATCATCTTTGTCTGTAACAAACAAAGCTCTATTCTATTCTAATTCCTGATAATATACGAATGATTCGCTCAGCCGGCGAAGTCAATATTCGGTGACTGTGGCGGCAACGTGTCGGGGTCGTCGTGGGGCGCGGTGTCCTCCCCGCGCTACCCGCTGCCGTACGAGGCGCCGGCGCGCGGCGCCGCCTCGCGCGTCTGCAACTGGTTTATCACCGCGCGCCCCGGACGGCGGTTGTTGATCAATTTTGATCACTTTGCTGTTGAAGGACATCTTACAGGTTAGCTGGATGTTTATTGGTGTATTATGTTGCGGTATTCTCTTCTCGTTGAGTCGTTTGCGATTTTTCAAGAAGGATTTTCTTGTAAGAGGAAGTTCTTTGTAGTATGATAATAATTTTATTATAAGTGGTTTTTCTATAAACTACGACAGTTACCTACTTATCATTATGATTTTTTTTTATGTTAGAAATAAAGTAGTGGCGACCATGAGATAAAAAATCTATTGATTAATAAGTTCTGCCTATTTGTTTTACAGTCATTTTTCAAACTTTTAATATATATTTTTATATTTATAATTATAATATTTTTTTAGAACGTGGTTGCCCGGCTGCAGTACTACGCCTGTGGTACGAGAGTCCCGGACCGCCGCTAGAGCTGTGCGGTGAAAAGGCGCCTTCCGACCGCTGGCAGTACCTTTCGTCATCTAACTCGATTCGTCTCTCGTAAGTATTACATAAAAGCTTAAGTATAATGATTAACTTAACTTACAAGGATTAAATTTTATGTATGTAAGTTTCAATAATTTATACATTTTCATTCAGGTAATGAACACTTTGTAACGTATATTATAAATAAAGTCCCTCGTCGCGCTAATTTTGTTTTAAACGGTGAATATCAGAAACTACGGTACGGATTTTCATACATCTCTCTTTAATAGAAAAAATGATTATCTAGGCCTGTTATTGGCTGCAATTTATTAATATATAACCAAATTAAAGTACCGGTTTTGATGATGTTTATAAATTAAGTCGGAAAAATGGTCCATTCTGAGAACTTCTATAAAAAAAAATGCGAAGAGCATCTAGGGACCACTTCACTAGTACAGTATAAATATTCAAATTATCACTCAACCTAACCTTATGTGTCGTAGTAATTCAGATTTATCTACATACAAATACTTCAAAGTATTCTATCTTGTGACATTGTTTTGATCAACAGGTTCATAATAGCGGACAAGTCAGTGGGCGCGGGCGGGTGGCGCGCCGTGTGGACGGAGGTGACGGTGGGCGGCGGCGCCGACGACTGCCCCGCGGCGTGCGCCGGCGCCTGCCTGCCGCCGCGCGCCGCCTGCTCCGGCCTGCAGCACTGCGCGGGGCAGCCCCTCACCAAGCCTGCATACTGTTAGTACCGTGAGTCTGTGTCATGATGGGGATTCACCTGTTACTATATTAACGTGATTAGCAGGATTAAATAAGTTCAGGGATTTACAGGTTTATTCAGATTTCGTTTAGGCGTCACGTTTTTAAATTATTATTATTATTATTATTTTATTTTTGAATATTGATAACTCAGTCCTTCTCAACTCTTGCACATATAATTATTGAATTATAGATCATTGCGAAAATGTCGTATAGATTGATCACCACATCTTGCAATCTTCAACAAGTAGGCACGATTCAAAAATTATAGTTTCTTAAAAATTCGAACAGACAGATACCTACATTATGTTGATAATATTATAAAAGTTTTACCTAGTTTAAAATTCAGGGATTTGTTTACGTTAGTACTTACTCCAATGGATAGGTTAGGTTGACTTGGCTTATGCGTAACACTCATATCACTGGATCATTTCAACAAAACACAAAATAGTGCTGGTACTTGGCTAACACATGATTGCATTAAGTTATGCACCGAAACACCCGCACAAATTTCGCACCTGATTGAACAATTTTCGTGTATTTTATCTTTTATTATAGATTAACAAAGTATTTATGTGAAAGAGAGAATATTATATAGCGTAGATATATTGCTAAAGTTCTATCTAGTTGTCTTATATTCATTCTAATATTATATTGAAATATATTTTTAGGACGATATAATTACATTGTTGTATAATTTATGGAAAAAAAAAACAACAAAATGTACTTACCGTATTCAGACTAAATAACATATCGAAGTGTGACTTTTAAACATAAGCTGTTTATTAAATGTAATCGGTAGATTGAGTTTAACCTGGAATATATTTTTACTTGAATTTTATTAATAAATTGAAAAAAATAATAAAACGTTTAGTCTACACTTGGCGCCCAACGTGGGGCAGATTGCCCCTTTTGGGTGCCAATATTTATTTTCAATTACAATTTTTGTGATTATATTAGGTATATAAAATTACTATTTTATAGTAAAATAGGTTCTGATACACTCTACCGATTATAATATATTTTTTACCATTGTAAATCTGTAAAATAGAATCTCGATTGGCTTATCAATATTAGCTTATATAAAATTTTAATCAGATTTCTAAATTTTTATCCACAGTATTGATAGAACACTTTGTTACCGTATGTCGTTCGCACTTTGCAAATTCACATACAATGATATTGTATCTACACAGTTGCATTTTGTCGTTGTAAAATTAATATTAAAATAATTATTTAAAATGTAGATAAACGCGGAGTAAGCAGTATTTTTATTTGCTAAGCAATAAAGTCGACTTTTATTATAAAAGTGCCATTTGATGTTCATTGTGCTCAATTTAATAAAAGAAAATATACTTTATCTTAATATTTAAGTTTATATATTAAAAAAAAAAAGATTTTTTTACTTACACGCCAACGCTTGTTGCTGCTTACTCCAGCTTTCTTCTATTAATTGTAAGATATTATATATAAACATTGTAGAACTGTTAAATTATAACTTAAATAACATACTATATAACATACATTCACTGTACTCTTTACCTTCTCAGTATTGACGGTTCAATGCAATCTTTGTCTCAGAGGATATTCTTATATGTTTAATGTTGGTAGGTGTTTAGATCGATGAAATTTAAATTGTTGGTGACATAGCGTAATATATTGACGATGTTGCAAGATTGTGGATCTTTTTATTTACAACTGCGTTCCTTAAAACTAATTTTTAATTTCTTCATAAAACATAATATCTCATTCTACATCCATAAACTGTGCTCCACTTAAATAGTTGTTTAAACTCGTCTTAATTATTTTTTTTCTTTAATTATACTGTGATGACTCAGGAGAGTAAGAGATATTTGCTCTAAAAGCTTATTTAGTGAACGTTGTTATTTAGTAAATAGGTCTAAATTCCGATGGGACGAAGCTTGCATTGAGTCATCGCACTATAGGGCCCGGGCTGCCGCGTCCAACGGAAGAAATACTTGTATCAAATTGTCTTCTTTGATAATAAATACGTTTTTTAAATTGTTTGTAGATTAGTAAGAACAATTTGTACAAGTATTTCATAAATTTTGCAAAAGAGATATTTTCCAATAATTATCTTTATTTGTATATTGTACCTTCTTGCATTGTAGCTTTCTGCCAACCGAAACATTATTGGAAAATAATTACAAAATCAATCACTATAATGCCTAAATTTGTTATTGTAAAGCTATGATCCTACGCTTGTGTAATTTGGCAGTGATTGAATTTGTAAATTGCTTTCGTTCCTTTCGATTCCACTACAAAAATTGTGAATGTAAATTGGTGGAATCGTCACGGATGTTGTTTGGGGCGGTGCCCGGGTTGACGCGGCGGTGTGCGCAGGCGGTGCGTCGGGCCAGGCCGCGCCGCGCGCCGCGCTAGTCGTCCTCTCGCTTGTGCTCGCCGCCCCGCACTGACCGGGCGCTGCACACGTGAGTCTATATATATCACCTTCCCGCTTCACTCCTGCCGCTTTGCACGACACGCAATACTCTATGCTTTTCGTGTGTTTCTGTCATTCTCCACTTGGTTCATGTGTGGCAATTTTTTCCAGTACCATTTACGAGCATTATGACACGTGATTTTGTTTTTCATCCTTGTGTAAAGTTGTGTCTCATAAATTATGAGTTATATTACATTATCATAGATAGGAATCCATGAAATCGCAATTATATTAGGCATTCCGCACTACTAAAGCAATCTTGCCAGTAGTAATCATTGCTTCACCTTGCATCACTTAAAGCTTTCTCTATTTCAAATAGATTGTGTTGCATGCTAATAAAAAAGTAATGATTTTAACCACTAAATTTAAAAATGAAATTAAAATAAAACCTAAATATATTTCAAAATATATTTATTTGAAAAAGCCTGAAAATAGGTTTTCAATTTTTATTATTTAATTTTATCGTTAGGTTTTATTTCATTTAAAAAGTGTAACATACCTATTATGTACGATGAAAGCTTTCAGGTTTTTTCTGATAAATAGCACACATATTATCTTCCTACGTTAATAATAAGAATAAAAAAATCAAATAGCTAACATATAGGGAAGACAATATTTGCGCTTTAAACTTAAAAGAAAAATGACTGTCCGAAATAGTAACTCAATTGGTTTAGGACTTACTCTAAACGGACAGTTATATATAAAATCTCTAAACTCCCCATCCAATCTCCTATAGTCATATAAAAGATAAACCAAAGAACTACTACTTTTAAAATTCCCGCTACGTACATGTCGAAACCGCGATGGTTGACAAACAGGCGAGAGTGCGGGTACGTCTCAAGGCAGCAATGCAGTGTGGTGGGTGACGGGGTGCGCGGGCGGCGGCGTGCTGGCGCTAGCGGCGTGCTGGAGGCGCCGGCGACGCGCGCCGCGCCGCCCGCCGCCGCCGCCGCGCCCGCCGCCGCGCCTGGCCGCCCGCCTCGCCGCGCCCCCGGATACGGTGTGACCGTGATGCAATACAACACTTTAACGTACTTTTGTGTTTTATTTCACTGCCCGTATTTAATTATAACAATTGTAACTTATTGTAGTCATTAGTCATTTTGTTTGATAGTTTTACCACAGTATAATCGATACCCTACAGTAGGCAATCGCCCGTTGATTTAGGTAAATACTGTTAAATCAATTTTTATAGCGAATGGTTTTGAAGTTATAGCACTGTAGTGCCATCTCGTGACAAGTTCGTTATACCTGCCAACCCTAAAGCCGTTTTTCGACTGTCACATATAAACTAAGTATGGCAGGCGGGTGCGCCATACCTACGTCACACCTCACACACTCCGCACTATTGCCCTGTCTATCTGCCTTTTTTATAAGTTACTAGCAGAACCCGCGGCTTCGCTCGCGCTAAAACTACAAAAATCCCTAAAAAGGTAGTTTCATACAAACTTTCATCCCTTGTTTTAGCCTCTTATAGGATGAATTTCGAAAAATGCTAAAACATGTATTTATTTAATTTTATTGAAGAGCATTTATACCAAGTTTCAAGTAATTCTGATCATAAATATTTTTTTGGATTTTATTATAACGTATTTTCCCGTGGGAATTAGATAATCTCCCGCGGTAAAAAGTAGCCTATGTCATTCTCCATGCAGCGTTCCAACTATCTCCACACAAAAAAATATGCCAATCCGTCACTGCGTTTCGACGTGAAAGAAGGACAAACAAACAAACACTTTTACACTTATAATATTAGTGTGGATATAGATGATGTCATTTTTATGATAATAGCGTATTATGCAACACGTTGTGTGCTAAGAGTTAGTTCGTCTTAGTTGTATATATTAAAATTATAGGTAGGTACTTAAGATACGGATATACAATCTACCATCCAAGGATGGATACTTGAAACGTGGGTTTGTTTATCCACCTACTGGTTGGATTTTTCACTTTTGAACAGAATTTGGACTTTTTTTATGTTTGCTTTCACCGCTCGCAACTATACAATTTGACGAACAAAACAATATTGTGTGGTTCCAGGCTTTAGATACGCAGGGCAACTGTTGTGCGTTTATTCTTTTACTAGAATGATGAAAAGAATTTGGGTATAAATCACAGTAATTTAGATATTTACAGTAAGTGTAGCTATAATGTTACGGAATAATGTGAGTAAATACAAAGTTTCTTCTCGATGTCTTCGATTAACATTACATTTATAATTATGTAAAATACAGCAAATCACTTTTTCCATCATTCATAAAGCAATGATGCGGTGCGTGCGGGATCAGATATGGGTGAGACGCTCCCGACTGTCTATAAGTACTTTTATATGACACTCGGGAAGCGGCTTTAGAGTGAAGTGGAACTTTTCACCGTACGCCAATGAATATTAGTATTTTTGACGTCCCTTACGTATTGCATAAAGTAAATTGTTCAATATTATTGTGTTTTAACGTTATTCTACTCATTTTGCGTATGCGCAGTTTTTTTTTTGTAAAATTAATAGACTTATGTTTAATTAATTGCTAATTAATCGTTTTCGTACACGTATTGACAAAAAATTGTTGGCTTCGGACCCATGGCTACACTGGTGCAACTACTGAGAATATCTATGACCGTTGTTTACACTTATGTAACAACCTAGCATACCTATGACCGGTGGTCACATTTATTACGAGTCTATCTCAGAAGTGACTGACCTAGGCCAAGTAAAATTCAGTGTAACAGCACACAGTTTTTATTATTTTATACAAAGTCAAAGTAACGCCTCAAACGACATTACAAAAAGGAATGACATTTCACGCATTATTTAAAAGTTATGAAACAAAATACACGCTGCTCCCGCCCTTGTTCACTCAAGATGACAACGTCAGAAAAACTTCAAGAAGTATTTTATATATTGATAAAACAGTGTATAAATAAACATATAATTTCAGGACGAGGAAAATAAGAACACAGTAAACCAATGCAATAAGCTTTATATTATCACTTTTTACTTTATAAGTTTTATAATGTCACTTCAATTTTCGTATTTCCATCTAATATAACAATTAAATGTAGTTTTATGATCACTTTATATCACTACTATTTAACCTATCACAGGAAAACTTTATCTTTTTACTTTTTACACATAAGTTTACCACTATTTTGATCAATAAGTTTACCAGCATAAATTCAATATTATTTTAACAACGATTACTTATCTTTTCTGGCGTAATGCACGTCTGTCCAAAAACTAACTCTTGCAACGGTTACCTTACGCTTTTTATATCAATCAGCCGGAAGTGAAATTTTAATTATTTTTATAAAATCATCCTAAAAATCAGTTAAGTATCCATAATTTATAATTTAATTTTATTAAATTAAACAATAGTATTTCAGAATTTTTAAATGTAACAATATTATTATGAACTTCTTACTATTTGATTTATTTTCAAGCATTTATTTATAAGCATATAATTACAAAATTAGTAACTCGAAAAATATGTTTAATTTTAAGATATTGACTGTTAAATTATTAAATTTAAATATTTCTTTAAAAGTATAATCAATAGATATTCCATATTAATTTGAAGTAGTCAAATATTTCCTGTTAATTTATTAATGACTTTTAATGAAAATATTATTATTCATGATTTCTAATTATGTATATTATTTTATTATGTACAATTTTACTACTCCGTCTAAGCCTAGTCTAACAGTTCGTCCATCCTGACGAATATTTGCGACCTCGCAAATGAGCAAAAGGTTTAATAATTTCAAATTTTCTTTATTATTAGATCTAAATTTAATACTGGTATTCCAAAATAATATTTTTTTTGATTCAAAAATAAATTTCATTTTGCATTAAATTATTATTATTATTTTTTTTTTTTTACTGAACGTCATGAGTCTACTACCAGTTCGGAAGGAAGAAGCCTCAGACCTGAGAAGAACTGGCGAAAGAAACTCAGCGGGACTATTGAATCACCTACGGTTTACAGACGATATTGTGGTATTTGCAGATTAATATATTATTTATAAGCTATTAACTATAAACCAATACACATCCCACAACGAAAAAATAGATACGGTTCTAATTCACCACTCTTACGAAGCTTTAAATAATATAATTTTATATTTCAGCAATGTGATATAGATATATTTTTTTTGATACTTTAAATTTATTCAAAAAGAAAGTGTATTTAAATATTTAGATTAGTTTTTTTTCTTCTTTTGTTTATTGTACACATAAAATTTTAATGGAATAATTCTATAAAAAGATGTGCATACTTTTAAATTAAATTTATATACAAATAGGTAAAATTATAATGCTGAATAAATGTTTTTATGTAAATTTAGTTAGTAAGCCTTTATAATAAATAAATAAAATAAATAAATAACTCGAAATTATAGTAACTAACTAGAAATAGAGAGTCAAAAGTAGAATTATTATTCAATACATGTAAAGCTCTTTTTTTTTAAAGAGCGCTGCAAGATAAAAAGTACAAAAATTAGAATACGTATATGAATGCGTATATCTAGGACAACTAGTATCATTCGAAAATACAAAAAGAGCACTAACGTACGAATTAAGACAAAGATATACGTTACAACAATGCTACCGCGCCTTGAGAAGAAAATCACTATCTGTCAACGCGAAATGGAGCGTAGCATGCATTGCTTTACATTATCAGATAGAACCTGCAGCAATAATTCATTAACACTGTCGAGAACGTTCAGAATAATTTCTTAGGAGGTTATATTTCAAATTTAAATCTATTGAGGGTAATAACCTAAACATCAAGATCAAATTTTTCTTTGCATAATTATCAACAATCATATCGATTGTTATCTGTTGTCTAATATTTTCTTTAAATGCCTTCGAATTAATAAACGATCAAAAGATATGTCTTGTCTGTTCCCTTTCTTAGACCAAATATGCCAAAACTAGAGTCTGTAAAATTTATATTAATTACTAGCAGAACCCTCTGCTTCGCTCGTGGTAAAACTACAAAAAAATCTCTAAAAAGGCAGATTTCATACAAATCTTCATGCCAAATTTTACCCCCTTATGGGATGAATTTTGAAAAATGCTAAAATACGTTTTTTTTTAATTGTATTGAAGAGCATTAATACCAAGTTTCAAGTAATTCCGATCACAATTATTTCTTGGGTTGTATTATAACGTGTTTTTCTTTAGGAATGAGACAATATCTCGCGGCAAAAGAGCGTATGTTACTCTCCAGTCCTCGAACTGTCTCCATAGAAAAATTACACCAATTCGTCATTCCGTTTCGACTTGAAAGAAGGACAAAGAAACAAACACACTTTCACATTTATAATATTAGTATGGATTACAAACAGCAAATATTTCGTTTGCATATACTGAATATAAACAAATTTATAACCAAACTTGAAAAGACACTAGCAAAAGATTATTTCTATATTTTTCTTTTTATTTTGTAACTACACATTTTATTTATCTCTGTTTTGGTTTAACAGGTAATAAGTCTACTCAGTTATATTTATGTAAAAGTGGAAACTTTATTGGCCAGGTGTATTAATTTTGTTGTATTTTGCATTTGATGTTTGTATACGCTGTTTGTTTTCCAATTTTACATAACAAATAAATAAGCAAAAAAAAAGTTTTGGGGCACTTAGGAGACAAGCTCAAAAACGTATAACTAAATCATTTGAAATTTGTATAAAAAGTTTAAGAAGGAGGAAAAATACCATTCCGCCTAATCGAGATTGCATGTTGGTAGCTTTTAGTAGCGTTCACCAGACTAGTTATCTATTATGGCAATAAGTATGATTCCCGGTTTTAATACCACTTGGTCAAAGTAATATGGTTGGATCTTACCAGCATTTAGGTCATAGACGATGCAAGCGTTGATACGGCCTCTGGGGTAGTCAAAGAACCAGCTATAGGCCTGGCCAGGATGGGTACTTCCGAGTGCTGGGAGTGCCAGGACTGACATCGTTTTTCTAGCGGACTCCGAGACGGGATACCGGTGACGTTCCGGGATCCCACTTCTGAAAATTGATAAAACAGTGTATAAATAAACATATAATTTCAGGACGAGGAAAATAAGAACACAGTAAACCAATGCAATAAGCTTTATATTATCACTTTTTACTTTATAAGTTTTATAATGTCACTTCAATTTTCGTATTTCCATCTAATATAACAATTAAATGTAGTTTTATGATCACTTTATATCACTACTATTTAACCTATCACAGGAAAACTTTATCTTTTTACTTTTTACACATAAGTTTACCACTATTTTGATCAATAAGTTTACCAGCATAAATTCAATATTATTTTAACAACGATTACTTATCTTTTCTGGCGTAATGCACGTCTGTCCAAAAACTAACTCTTGCAACGGTTACCTTACGCTTTTTATATCAATCAGCCGGAAGTGAAATTTTAATTATTTTTATAAAATCATCCTAAAAATCAGTTAAGTATCCATAATTTATAATTTAATTTTATTAAATTAAACAATAGTATTTCAGAATTTTTAAATGTAACAATATTATTATGAACTTCTTACTATTTGATTTATTTTCAAGCATTTATTTATAAGCATATAATTACAAAATTAGTAACTCGAAAAATATGTTTAATTTTAAGATATTGACTGTTAAATTATTAAATTTAAATATTTCTTTAAAAGTATAATCAATAGATATTCCATATTAATTTGAAGTAGTCAAATATTTCCTGTTAATTTATTAATGACTTTTAATGAAAATATTATTATTCATGATTTCTAATTATGTATATTATTTTATTATGTACAATTTTACTACCCCGTCTAAGCCTATGACAACAAAGAATAAAATAATGAATCTACAATAATACATATAAGTCCTATTTTATATAAGTAATTAATAATTTATATTATTTTTAGTATGACACATTATTACATTAAAGAGTATGTATTAAGTATTTATGTTTGAAGCAAACGGTTATATACGGTTAAGTTAGGTATGTTTAATTTTTTGATTGTGTGACTGGTCCGACTTAGATAGCGTGGGTTGAGAAGGCATTGTAGTGAATGCGCAAGCGATCCTGCAACGCCCCATTGCACTGCAGCGACGGGTTCCGCTGTGGGTTTTAGTGAGTAGTAGTCTCACAGTACCCTACCCATTGACGGCCGGTCCCATGATGGGTTTCCCCAGCGATAACAAAAAAAAATAGGTTGAGAAGGCTAAGGCGGGAGCTACGTCTTACTCGTCTTACCCTTTTTTTCTTTCTAGGTTGGTTAGGTTAGAGTTACCACAACGCCATAAACGATTAGAACTTCTAGAACCAAAAATGCTTTAAAATAATCTATATATTAATGATTTAATATCAATGATTAACCTAATAATAATCAAAAGCTATCGTTTTCTTAGTGTAACCATCGGTCATAGATGTTACAGTAGCGTAGACACTTTTGAAGTTATACTTTTGGGACGTTTGGAAAAAATTATGAAAGTAAAATATTTACAGCCAAAAAGCGACATGATGAAATTATAGCTGATAACTGTTTATTGCCATGGTAACCGTTGTTATTGTCTGACAAATGATATATAAAATTATATTCTTTCCGTATATGATATTCTATAAATATATGATTGTAGGTAGTATGCCTTATTTATTGATTTGTTTTAATTTAATAGCGATATTTTTTTTTATTAATTTATCATACCTTTTACAGAGTTGTGACATACGGGATGAAATCTTTAGCTATTTTTGTTCTGTTACGCCAAAGAAGTATAATTTCTTACATGCATACATAAGTATACACACACTTTTTTTTAAAATAGATCCTATTCGTAGTTTAACCTTCGGTCATAGATATGCTCAGTAGTTACACCAGTGTAACCATGGCTCCGAGGTCCAATGTTCAAAGTTTGATTTCTTAAACTCTCACACGAAGAGGTAATAAACACAATATTTTACTATTTGAAATAAACTATTGATGTCAAACTCGTGTAAAAAGTTTCATGTTATTGTTCTAAAATAGGTTTAAAACATTATTTTAGATCAGCCATGTCTATTATTGTATTTGGTTGATGCAAAAACGAAAAAAAATATAATTCATTTTATCCACCGCGCCCAGAAGGATTAAACGGTAATATAAAACAAAAAGTAGACACACGACTGACTCCACTCTAGGGAGACTGAATAATCAATTTTTTCGAAGGTACTTATGTTTTAAAGATGATGTTATTGTTCAAATAAATAGATTGTATACGTAATAAACTCAATACAGGGTATTAAAATGGCTAAAGCTAAATCACGACAGTTTCAATCGAAGATATTCGTATATTGGAGGTAGTTAGAAAAGAAAACAAGCGTGTAATAAGGCAAACACAGTTTTGCAAATTTATTCCACATATTAACTGATACAAGATTGATACAGAGTTCTAACAGTATGGACATGCTATGTGGTCGAAATACAAAAAAGTTTAGTAGTACAGCGATAATAATAAACATTGCAGAAATCCTGAACTTTACAATACTACGTCTTCACACTAATGTATTTTAAAGGGAAATATGTAATAAAAAATAAAGCAAAAAAACTAAAGCAGGAACACAGTTGGGAAATGTTATCGATTACAGGTGTTTTTATTTTAGCCGTAATTGACAGAGTCGCCGGGTTCAATTCATTCCATCACTTCATTCTCGTGTAACCTAAGTTGTAAGTATGTCAAAAAACAACAGTCAAACTCCTTATAATATAATAATTACTGCTAAAATACACATCACATCGCAAAATGCGTTCGCAGGAATAAAATATATCGAATAACATGTATTAAAAAAAAACAGACAGTCGACGGGTCGCAACCCGACGCGCGGCCGCAAACAGGCAACCGCGACCGCGCGCGATCACAAAAATAAACATATATTAAATATACGGCCAATACGACACGACAGTGAAAAAAAACATAAGCATAACGGGAAACTTACATTCGAAACATTTCATAACGTCCTACTTTAATTTTACGGACTCGTCGTACAAAATCGAAAACGTGAAAACGACGATCGACGAGAGAGAGATAGATAGATAAAAAAAAGAAACACATATATAGAAAAGTAGTGATGCGCCAGCTAGCGTAACCGTAACCGTAAACGTGTAACGTGTGGTGGACCGCTGTGGAGCGCCGTGAGCGTCGGGCGGCGCCGTGCGGGCGAGGGGCTCCCCTGCGCAGCTTGTAGTGTCTCCGGGACAGGGGCTCGCCCGCGCGGGCGCGCGGCGGGCGGCGCGGCGGGCGGGCGGCGCGGCGGGCGGGCGGCGCGCGCGGCGCGCGGGCGGCGGGCGGCGCGGGCGCTAGCTGCCCGCGCCCGCGCCCCACCCGCGCGCCGCCGCCGCCGCCGCGCCCAGCCGCCGCTTGCTCTCCCCCCCAGCGTTCTGCTGACCCCCGTCGTGTTTACGTTTACCTGCAACACCGCAACAAACACACACACACTTTACACACCATCACTAGAAACAATTCACCTCAACGAAACGAGGGTATTTGCAATCCTCTGATAAAGGGGTTTGAACCATATTATTGTAGAAACTGACATTAAGCCAGCCATTTTATTTTTCAAAGTAGCGAGCACAATTAAATTGTGTGTATGGATAGAGGACATTTAAAAATAAAAAATACCAGCATTATGGTGCTCTAAAGTGTCACGTCTGATAAATATATCAAATTAAAGATCACTTAAATAAGAAAGTTAAATAAGAAGATTACAAAAATCATTACGAGATATATAAGAGGAAACACAACGGACCCATATTAACACGTCATGTTTAATTATTGTCACCGGTTTCATACGGCAATCACCTTCAAATATTTCAAAGTGTGACATTTTATGGTTTATTTTACTGGTATTTTTTATTCCCTTAAGTTTCTCCTATCCATATGTACTTGTTTCATTGTGCGCCGCAAATTAAAATGGCGGGTGCTTGACAATGCCATAAAAGTCCATCCCCTTTAACAGGAAAACATGATACCAATTGCTAAAAACTAAAAATTGATACCGTCTACGCAGATTTTTCATACGTTATTATAATTTTCTTTAATTAAATCATTTATTCAAATCTACTAAAGGAATTATTAATACGAAAATATGAATCTGCTACCAATATACATATCTATAACAACAACAATCTACGACTAGATCTTCCACAAACTTTCAACCCAAAAAAAAACTTTGGACTCGCAACTAGATCGAGCTTTTAAAGTTTGTGGCAGACCCCGGTACAGAATACGGATGGGAAAGGATAAGGATAGGATAATTACCAATAAATTAATAAGATTCCAGATTACACGCAAACCATTAAACAAGCTGAAATCAAATATGTGGTGTCAAAGGATGAAATTAAAATGCTTGACCAATTGAAAACTAAAAACGAATGAGAGTCCAAAGTTTTTTTGTTTAATTTTGAATTTCGCTTTTATCATAAGTTTCAGTATGAAATATAGTATACATGAATATAGTTTTAAAATTGATCATTGAACACTAAACATTTAATAATTGGCAATTGTTTTGAGAAGGATTTATTGAGCGGAATGGGTAAAGATACCCCATTTACCACCTATAATACATTAAATTTTAAATTTATAGATTGGTAGTATGTACGTATAAAGCTCATGGCATTTTACTCCATAATATAAAAAATCATTTTTGAATTGGTCTGGCCTATTATGCTCTTATTTGACTGAGCATCACAAATATTCCGGATCGATTTTGATAAGATTTCCCGTAAAAAATCTTCCGAAAAATCGAATCACCTTTACTATTTACGCATGGTAAAATTAATTTCACCGTCCTAGTAATGTAAATTAAAATTAAAAATATTTATAATCCACAGTATAAAAATCCACACAGTAGGCTTTTAATTTAAACGGAAATACATACTGCCAAATTGCAGAGGTTGTCAAAAATACAAATTTTCAGTCAACCATGAAGCCATTTCCCGACTGTCATATAAAATAACGTATAAACTTTCGGGTACATCAACTGCATGGGCTAGTTGACTGCTGTATGTGTATCGTTGCCACGACAATGCGATGTATTTGACGACAAATTTGGCTTAGTTTGTAGTGACCCTACTTGCTGTGTAAGAGATCGCGGGTTTAAGTCCCGCAAGTGTATGAACTATCTGGTATCCACAACACAAGCCTCGTAGCTTACCATGGAACTAGATGGTGCAGTGTGTGTTTGTCCGTACATACCTGGTAAACTTGGCTTGGCGCGCGGGTTGCCACGCATGGCGCTGGGCGTGCGGCGGCCACGAGCGGCGCGCCGCGCACCACCACGGGCCCCAGCCGCGGCCCCGCGCCGCGCCCAGGGCGCGCGTGTCCCACATGACCCAGCCCCCTGCGCCGGTGCACATGTTATAGCTACGTGCGCGTACACGTAGCACGCACCTCGTATACACGGATTGGCATGGATTTAAAATGACCGAGCATTTAATTAATGGGATTTCGCAGACTTTAAGTACCGATTTTTATTTAGAAAGTTGTCAAATATATGTAAAATAACATTTTAAAGTAAATGCCAATCAAAATATACGAAGCTAGCTATTTTGTTACTGAAACAAGAATATCTTCACTTCTTTTTCTTTTTATGGAACTTCTCGGGTTTTTCAGAATTGGTATGCATAAATGCGCTTAATAAGATTTTTTGTTCGTAACATCCCATCACATAGACAAAAAACATGAAATACATTACGAATATACCTTTATATTACCTTTTTTTGAATAAATGAATAAAAAAATAAAATAAAAATAAAATATTTAAAAATAAAATTTCTTAATATTCCTATTTAGATTTTTTTGTATTACTAATAATGTCTTTATATTATTATATTAATTAATATGCATTACATTGTGCGCATTACTACTTTATTTTATAAAACTTGAAGGCAATAAATAAGATCAAAGATTTTATGCCGTTTCGTGATAGAGTATGTTGAATTGAAGTTCATAGTAAGAATATTAAAAAAAACTATATAATTAATTTGCATGGGCTTATGAAAGGATCAAAATTACAAACGTTTTTCTTCTTAATCTGAGCTCGAAGAAACTTATTTTGATAAAATTCAACGTAGAAATTAAAAATAAAATCATACCAAGACATCGCTTGAGAAGTTGCATATCAGAGAAGTGAAAATTTCTTATTTCTTACAGCAGTTTATAAAACATCCACAGCCACCATTTTACACTATAATCGCTAAGTACTGATAGAAGCAACATCTAATCTACTTAAGTACTGATGGCTGTTGATATTGTAAGAGTAAAATAAAAACTAAAATATATAAGTATTTTTTCTGGGCCCAAATGAATCCTACGTTCATCGATAACGTTTTATAATTAAAAACGGAAAAAAATTATGTTAAAATACGAAAACTTTGATGAACATAACATCCGGCAGCGGTCACGTCATTACTAAATGTTTTAGAGAACACTCGCTAATGACATGACCGCAAAGATTTTCAGAAAAATATTACAAATGAAAGTTGATATCACACATATCAACCTGAGAATACTCATACCATGTACAATTAACGTTCACAGACTAAAAAAGAGAGCTGTTTGAATATTCTCATCTAAAGTAACCATGCTGCAAAATAAACAGTCGGCTAACAAAACGTGTACGAGATAAAAAATATGCTAAAATTGTCAATATCAATAACAAATGTATGTATGTAATATATAGAAACAATCAGGTACCTACAACTACACTAAAAATAATATGTATATTCAAAATAATATTCGTCGATACTATGTATATATATTTAAATATTGGTTTACTTAACAATATTGATATCAATCTACCGACATCTATACGTCGAAACAACACCAATAAATAACAAAATGGTTACATACTCTCGCATCGTATGCGCGGGTACCTGAATGCCTCCGGTTAGATCGTAGTAAAGCGAGTTGGGCCCGATACCGACTTCTTCGTCCTGAGTGAGGCATTTACCAAGCGGGTCAGTATTTCTTCTTAACATATTCTCTACCTCGTTACAACAGCGAGAAATTTAAACAACGTTACACGGGCATTCGAGTTTCGTCTACATATATGCGGGGGTGGCCAAGCTCCAAGCGTGTTATCGGGTTAGTGAAGAAGCGAGCGAAGCAAAGCACTACATGAGGAATGGCGACGCGAGATGAGACTAAAGCGAAGCAAACGTGGTATGGTAAGAAGAACGGGTAGACTGTGTCGGGACACGGCCGCTGATTCTACGTGAATACGTCATATTGTGACTCGTAGGATAAAAATTGTTCGATCAATAATTTAATTCCTATTTTTTAAAGGACCTAATAACGCCACGTAAGACATATTCACGCCGAAGAGCAGTCGGGAGTCGGGCGCGTTAGTCGGAATGGCTGCGTCATGCAGACCTGATGGTGCGATCATCGCGTGCCGACAGCCACCCGCCCCCGCCCCGTCGCCCCCCTACCCGCCGCCATCGATCACCACCGTCAGGCCTACACACTACCTTTACCGAGTCACTGACTCATTCTAGGATGGGATTCAAATCGGCCAAACAAAAAAAAATATAATATAGGGAGATGAAAAAAAAAATTTGGCAAATCAAAAAACCGAAAAAACCGAAAAATATGATGAGTACAGAATCTAGTGACTAGTAATATAATGTATTAGTTAGTGTGTGTGGGACCCACCGGTTGCGCTCTGTTGGGAGGCTGGCGGGCGGCGGACGGTTGTGGCCCCGCGTAATCATAATAGAACTCATCGTACCGGTAAAATGGCTCATTGTAGCCACCTCGGTAATCCCCGTAACCGTAATACTCGTAATCATAATCTATAAACACACAACACAGGCCTTTTAGAGGCTAAGCTAAACTAACGCTAAGACTGGGTTCACACGGCTTTGTCCTGCAGGTTTTTTTGCAGTATACGTCCTAACGAATACATAGTGGCACGTTACATTGTATATAGAACCGTTCACACGTCTTATGTACTGAAAAATCGTACACCGTTTATACGTTTAACCGAATACTCACCGGACTTATCAAGCAAATCGAATGAACTTTAACGTATTCGGTTTGCATTGGCGCATATCATTCATTGCAGTGGGTCAATCTTAGCTCTTGTCTCTTTCACACGGCACGATGCCATACGTTTTTAATCGAATAGCAACCGTTGGCACCTTCGATACCAATATGAAAGAACAACCAAGCGTGGATCCATCACTGATGTCTACTAATGACAACGTATGAAAACTGCGAATGTTCGTTTTTACACGAATGAAAATCTACCGTGTGAACACCCGGCTGATTGTACGTTTAAAATCGAATACTAAAAAAACGTGCGGGACAATGACGTGTGAACCCACCGTAACTTACAAGCTACCGTTTGCGATCCTGCGAAACTCCTCCAACACATTTACACACGAGTATCTCCACTAGAAGGAGCAACACACGAAATCCATCTGCTTCCTTACTTTACTCGCACACCATTCTACGCAACCTGCGTAGTTTCATATCGACACACGACAAAAACATGCATTGTCAATCATGTCTAAAAATTGTCAAATTGCGGTTGTCTTGAAATTTAGGATTTCGTTTTGAATTTGGAAAAACATGGTTTGCAGATTGCATTCCTCTCTCCCACCACCAAAACCTATACTGAAAGCGATGTAAAACAGGTGATCAAAAATTAGAAATCTCATATAGGTGTCAAAACGCTGCGATGATCACTTATGTTCAAGCATGCACTCGGGAGTCTGTTAAGGTTGTTATTACATAGAAACAAGTTGTAGCCCTCTCGTGTACGTACACTTTATTTCGGTAAATTTTCTCTCTTCTACATCTTTAGTCCGAAACCATGCAGAACCTACTCGTACTTAACCTAGCTCTCATTATATCTAGCCTATAATAGCGTTATGAAACATGTGAAATGGTTTGCGATGATATACTGCAAATTTAAATTGAATCTCGTAGTTTTTTTCAGAATTTTCCTTAAACAGTATATTATCACAACCGAGTTTGTTAGTAGGGGATCAGTAGCAAAGTTTGCGTGTGCGCGTGGAGTCCACACCGTGTACGCTTTGTGTTTTGTCCAATCAGATTCTTATTAAACTGGGACTATGAAGAAATATCTAGTTATTTAAAACGGAATCAATGTACGAAGTAATTTTCGCTAGAGATTTCTTCATATTTCCACATTCTGTCAGTCTGTGTGATCGGCTTTGCTAGATGGGCTTTTTGTTTTTTTTTTAATATTTAATACTGTTAATGTTTAATATTTAACGAAAACCAGTGAATAAATATGCGGTTATAATTCCTTGTAATACCAAATAATTGAACAAATAGTTGGGCTCCTATAGATATGGCTCTAACCCGACGATCAGGTTTTAGCATTTCAATAGCTGTCACCAGCGAAGGGACAAAGACGTATTACAAGGACGCAGGTGTGAACATAGCAGGTGGGTCAATCTTTTATAAAGAAATATGACGTAATTGCAGCTGTGATTTTTAAGAAACATCTGTTCGTCCAAAATTCGCGTGCAAAATTAAAACCCAATTTACATTTCAAAACGTTAATTAGTAGTAATATTAAACTATTACCCAAAACGTTAATAGGTACAGAATACTCTATAAAGAAAAGTGTCAAAAGTCGATCTAACATAACCACATACGTACGTGTGAAGCGTCACCGCTTGCACGTACGCGTGTGTGCGTGTGTGTGTGTGTGTGTGTGTGTGTGTGTGTGTGTCGCGCGCAGGGTGCGCGCGGGCGCGTACTGACCGTAGTCGCCGCGCGCCTGCGGCGGGCGCGGCTGCGGCTGCGGCGTGCGGCCGCGCAGCGCGCCGTGCACCGGCGAGCAGCTGCACCAATCAAATCTGACATTACACAGCGACACGTTACCCATAGATAACTAGATTCACTGCGTGCGACGCCGGTCGTGTGGCAACGGCTTAAACTTTTCTTTATTTACATATGTATTGCGAATAAAATATATTCAAAAATAAACGCGCAACGTTTCAAACATTTTATAATTTTACATACACGACCGACGACACTTCACCGAATAGAAATTCGTTGTTCTTTGCAAATATCAAATGAAATTGAAAGTAACTTTGTTACATAAAAAAAAATTGAAAACAATTATTTCTATTCAGTGTTTTAGACATATTGCATTATAAATCTAGTTGTCAAAACGATCCCTAATAAGACCTAAATAGTCGCTTTTCAAATTTCTACTTGACATTTCTATATTCAATAACAATGACAGATACATTCAACAATTTAAAAAACCTACGCAAGCACTCAAATGTACATAAATCAGTCCGTTACACTAAAAGCAAACGTCTTCTATATAGATAAATAAAATTGAAGTGTCTGTTTGTAATGTCAAAATAAAAGCTTTTTACTAAATGCGAATTTGGCATTATATACGGTGATTATAAGAAAAACACAATTTTTAAAATTTTTGTCTGTTTGATTGTTCCGTCTAATCTCCGAAACGACTGGACTGATTTTGACGGGACTTTTACTGGCAAATAGCCAATGTTATAAGAAGTAAGTTAGGCTACTTTTATTTTAGAAAAAGAATTAGGGCTCCGCTCAAAAAAAACACGTAGCTAGTGTAAGTCACTACATAGTTCCTTATAAAATTAACAATTCTATGACAATCAGCAAATAAACAAAAGGAATTCCAATAGAAGGTTACAATCCATTGTAAATACATTCCCATAATATCAACAGTTCTAATAATAAAATAGATATAATGAATCATAATAGTATGAAAGTTTTCCTATCAATAAAGACATTGTGACATTAATATTAATGCTTATAAAGTCTGTTATCACTATATTAGGGCAAAGAGCTTAATACAATACTAAATTCTCCTTCCGTACAGTTTTATATAATAATAATAAAGTATTAATTGAGTATTAATTAAGTAAAATTAGTAGTAGTAATATCGTTTATAACAAATGTATACACCTAAAGAAATACAATGGCCGCTATATCCATATTAAATGTGAAAGATCATAAAAACTTTACATCGATTGACTCTAAATGAAACTGAATTTAAAATAGTTTACTTGATTTATATAAAAACAGATTAAAAAAACATATATATACTATAAAAAATTGCAAGGCTAAAATCTATCAACTTTAAAATCTTCCACTATAAACAAGACACGGCAGTCATAAAACTCTAATACGCAGTGACCATAGACAAGTAACCTACGAGAGAATGAGATGAATATTATAGATAATCAGGAGTAGGATAATTATAAGGTTTATTTTTTTTTAATAATATTTTCACCAAGTTAAAAAGTTATTCTACATTTTATTTGACAGAGATATAGATTACATATAATTTAGTAATTAATTTAATTATTTTTCACTTCCTGTACAATGTATTCTATCTCAAATAATAACGGTTACCGTGGCAACATGGCAATGTATTTATCTCATTCTCTCTCCGGCCTAATCCTATACATATATTTGTGTGTTTATCTCTTTCTAGTGTCGCATTTTCGTTTCATTGAGTTACAAATCACAACGATTCTAAAGAAATTACACTTAAAAAAAGAACAAAACGTCAACTCACCCGCCACGGCCGTATATCATTTGTGTCATACGACGTTCACGAGCGCGCAGGATCTCTTCCTTCTTCTTCTTGTCGGAAGGTGGTTTCGCTAGCGACACTTCTAGTCGGGCGCCGCCCATATCCTTGCCGTCTAGTTCTTGCATCGCCTGTGTATATTTAACATTTACTTTATTATTCCCATGTATTCAGAGGAAGAGAGGAATCAGGCCATCGTCCACCACGCTGGCCAAGTGCGTGTTGGGCGGACTTCACATGTTTTTCGAAAACTTGCTAGGTTCTCTCAGACATGTAGGTTTCCTCATAATCATGTTGGAAATGATTCGCACATGAAAATATCAGAGGTGCGAGACCTGGGATTTGAACTCGCTTCCCTCGGTTTCCCAAACGAGCGCGTTACCACTGGACTACCACTGGCTTTTATTCCAATTATTATTCCCATATACCACTAGCGAATCATCCTCACCTCGCTCAGTTTCGTCCCTATGTTCCCTATATTCCCCATACAAACTTTCATGCATTTTCACCCCTTTAAGAGATTATTTCCGGAATAAAAAATATCCTATGTCCTTCCCAGGGTTTCAAACCATCCTCTTACCAAATTTCATTTAAATCAGTCCAGTAGTTTTTGAGTTTATTTCGTTACAAACATAAAAAAGTACAAATCCTTCCTCTTTATAATAGCCGCGCAAAAAAATTAAAACCCATGAAATTATAAGCAAAATCGTATCTAGGGAAGCACCCGAGCAAAGCGAGGGCAAGTCACTAATATAATATAAAATTCCAATTATTATTTTTAGCGACATGTTGCTAAAAGCATGGATGGTTAAAGAGATAACTGTAATTCATATTGACCCATATTATTATCACAGTTCGAACGATATTTAGATTGTTATCAATTTATTATTATAATGACAATGATAATCTACGTTATTACATAACTTTATATATTATTTTCTATTTTTTTTTATTAGTTACAAGTTTAAAAAAGTAACAAAATCCTACATACATAAATATTATATGGACATCAAATAATCTATGAATGAATTTTACACAAAATATGAAAATCTACATAAAACCGTGAAAAAATCCGGAAGAATAATTTTTATCTCTTACAATTTATTATATTTTATTTAAAATGGCAAGATAGACACTTTTAAGTTCTCTGAGAAGTATGTATATAGATAGATATTTTATGGATTAAAATCATCCAAGGGTTATATAATATCTACTTCCTAAAATGACTTGCTTTTTGATGCTCTACCATGAATAAATATTTTCGTAGTACCTATAGGTCTTAAAACGAGTGGCCCATACATCAAATGTCCTTATTCCGAAAAAATAATTAAAAAAAACTAGACAGCAGAAATCCGTCTAGCTCTTTAGAGTTGCCAGATTTTATCCAGTATCAAGAAAAAACATTTTTATTAAAAACCAACGACCTCACCTTAACAGCACAATCCCGGTCTTCAAAATGTACGAAAGCATAATCCTTAATCTTCTTAACGCGCTCCACCGTGCCGTAGCGGTCGAACTCTTCCTTCAGTGCGTCTTCTGTTATGTCTTGGGTCAGGTTTCGGACGTATAACACCTTAACCTGATTAACAATATTATGTTCAAAAAATTCTTTTCTTTTGTCTAGAAAATATTGGTCAATATCACAAACTTATAACCTATTAATTATTAAGCATACTTCTTTGCCGTTTTAGGTAAGGTTAGTTATTTTTGTCCTCATTAGCGTTAGTCAAAAGTACTTTCCACTGTTTTTGTCAGTCAAAATTAGTTTTGACAGGAAAAAAGTTTCGATTGTAACATACACATTTACAATATAGCCAAAATCGACAAAATTATATATATACTATATTCGATTATACTTTAACAAACACATAGACCATTGATCAGTATAGTATGTAAAAACACCATAATCGGCAACGAAGCTTTACTGAGAAAACTTAATATATTTTTTGTCAATCCTATAGGTTTAAATGCAAGTAATAAAAGCGTTAGTAAATAATTACTTACTTTACTCATAGTTTGCTCGTCGGGCTCTTCTTGAGGATCGGCCCAATCCACTATAATATCACAGCCCCATACCTTGACAAAAAGATTTTTAAAATTTAATACTGTCGTGTAATTCTTTATAGATATTGTGTTAAAAATTAATATATCAAATCCAAAGATACAACGCACCTTTATTCTACCGGTCCCGAGTCTGCGCTTAGCTAATGACGCGGCTTTGTGAGACTCGTATTCCAAAAAACAAAATCCTCTATTTTTCTTCTTATCATCGGGCGAACTATATATAATTACTTCTACGAGTCCGGCTGCAATCATACATAACAAATAAAACGCCTCGAAGATGGCGACCAGCGTGGATATTACAATATAAAGCTCCCTCCAACCCTCGCTAAGTTCAATTTCAACGCTACAAAATATGAAGCAAATCAAACGATATTCCAGGAGAACATTTGCGGTACTGAAGAGACTCCAGCCGCCTACGGCGCGGGGGCGCGCGCGGCGCCGCCGGGCGCACCCCCGCGCCCTCTATAGCACATATTATGAATTCGAGAAGGACTTACGTGCGTGCCTAGTAAGCTCCTCAAACAAATCGTCCCGATCTCGATTCTTAGGGATATTCCCCACGAATAAACGATGATTGTTAAAGGAAACCGTAACGCCAATCTTTTTCCCCTTTCGAATTTCATAATCATTCAGCTGCAAGAACAATTGGAGGGAGAATAGCCGATGGCCCGGGCCTGAGGCCGCGCCGCCGGCTGACGGGAGGGACGGGACAAGCGGGACGCAAGCGGGGCACCCTCAGCGGTCCACACCAAGCCCCACGCACTCAAACCCAACTATCAACTCTTTTTAAACTTTTTTGAAACTTTACCTGTTAATTTACCAAACTCTTCCAGTATCTCCTCTTTGCCTTTAGACTTGGGAATGTTGCCGACGAAAAGTCGCAGATTCGGAACGCTAATCTTAATTCTCAGAGTCTTCCCTGGTTTTATTTCGTGATTATCGAGCTGTGGGAAAAATAATAAGGCAAAAATTTTGAAAAGTGGGCTTCGATACGGATCGCGGTCCGGTCGTCCGAGCCCGAGTCGGCCGCGCCGACGCGAGAGCGAGATGAGTCAGTCGGGTTAGAGCCAATCGAGATGAGTTAACTGTACTTTGGATGATAAGCCGAGAGTGTTGTACGGAGCAAAGAGGAGAGCCTGAGATATATTAAATTCTCAGCCGGAGAACTTTTGAAGCCAATCGAAAGTTAACCCTGTAAGTGGACCGTTTGATGAAGTGAAAATAAAAGAAGCGATTATAAAGTGTGATGGTAACAAAAAAATAAAATGAAAGCAACTTAAAATTGAACGAGGTGCACAGTAAGAACGGGATGATATCTCGGGAAAAGCGAGGCTAGATCAGATTACAGGTGTTATAGTTGCACATTTAAACAATTCAGTGATTACATTTAGTTTGGCGGTGGCCATATACATACTAAGACATGTTTGAGACAACTATAATAATAACAAATTTAGACTGGGCAAATCTATCACTCTATATGGCAACCGTCAATGGGATATTAATATCATGCTCTTTAAATGATAAAAGCTTAATTCTATATCTCCCAAATGTGACTTAATACATTTATTCATCAAGCATATGATTGCGTCTTGCAAAAGTACCAATAATGATTGCTCTACAGTAGTTTTGCAAGTGACGCCACAATTTGGTGACTTCGATTTTAGGGTTGAAACCATCTTACGGACAGTAAATTCATTTTGAAATCAATTATAACGAATTGTAACTAATATGTTGCGACAAACAAAAAATATGCTGCGAATATAACAATACTAGAATATAAAGAGAAATGTTTTAGAAAATGTATTTATTGTCCAGATATTGTTATTAATAGATAATTATCATTAAAGTACTATAATTTGACATTTTAATTGGTCTGGAATTAGAAGAGGTATATATATTACAAGTAAGACCATTTATCAAAATTTCATGCTATTTTCCATATGTTCAATCAAAAAATAATTTAAACTGCGGGAAATAATGATTTCGCCCAAACAAAGAAGAATGTACATAGGAACAAAGTCACCAAAATGCGGTCAGCTAACGTGCTGTGATTCAGTTATTTTTTCAAGGGAATTATACTTAAACATTCGGCGAGTCACCTGGAAAGTAGATGTCAAATTAGAATTTAGTATCATTTGATTTTACCAATTACTAGATGGGATATATTATTTTAGACACAATTTAGTGTTACCAATTCAAGTTATTTTTTTTTTTAATATTCTCTGCGATAAGACAGTGCAAAAATGCGTATTGGTAGAGATGTGCGTAACATCCATTTTAAAGGTTGGCGGCAAGAATTTCATGTATAGCTTTTCATTTTTGCCATAGATCTATAGCAAATGATTTTTACATAAAAATTTACAAACCGATTTCGATGAAACAATGCGACTATGTTTTTGGGATAAAAAATAAATGATTCAAATGAACATTAAACATTTAACACCCAAGGCGAAGAAAACACTTATCAGTATGCAACACTGAAAGCAGAAGAGATGAACGCAGCAGCATAGCCAAAAATGAAGGAAAGTAAATAAAATTTTCATAATAAAAAAAAAACATTATTGCCACCAACCTATGACATGTTAGCAATTGAACCTTACCAGGTTGAATTACTAAAACACTGGAAAGTGGTAAATAAAGAGTTTATACAGTATAATAATCTATAAATTAGGAATAGAAAAATGTTATTTTCAATAAATATTACATGAAATTATCTTTACCACTCTCCGTCATCTAATTACAACACCCATTTTTGTCAACACCCAATTGGTCGATTTATTTTTTCTTTTAAAGCAATCGCACTCAAACCTTACTGAAATTCAAAGTTACATGTATATAAAAGTATTAAAAAAACGATTAGCTGATGTAAAATCGTGACAGTAATAACAAACAGACAAAAAAATCATTCACCAAATCATCACATCACTAATCCGACTGAATAAAATAACACCAGTGCCTGCTTTACAAGAGAAAAATTAAAAAACAAAAACAAATCCACCAAGTGGGCGGCGGCGGTCCACCGGAGTGTCAGAGCGTGGCGCACCAACCTCTTGCACCGCGCGCTGCGTGGCGTCGCGCGTGGTGAACGTGACGAACGCGTAGCCGCGGTTGGCGCCCGTCATGGGGTCCATCATGAGGCGCAGGTCCCATATGGTGCCGCAGCGCTCGAACAGCGGGATCAGCTCGTCCTCGTACATGTCCTTGGGTATCTTGCCGCAGAACACCTCGCAGCCGGCGCCGGGCGTGCCCCCCTCCCAGCCCGGCGGCGGTCCGCCATACTTGCGCTGACCTGCAGCCACAGCGGTACTTTTAATTCCAATACTATTTTTTAGATAATAATAAATAACAAAAAATAAAAAATATATTTTATTCATTAACAATTTCTAAGAATTACAAACAAGGTTGAAATCAGGGCAAAAAAACACCTAAAGCAGACGATTTCACACACCACAAGTTTTTTAATATAACAAATTAAATTATACCTCCATTATTTATTTGTAAAATTGTATGTAAAAAAAAATTGATCATTAAACTTATTCCCTCTGGTTACATCGCAAGAAATTTAACGTAAAGGTGCATGTGTGATTTGAGTAAACTAATTTAAAATATATTAAAAAAAAACGGATAATTTCTAAGAAAATTGTAAATTTAAAAAAAATGAAAAGACATACTTTCAACAAAATTGGTATTTATGTATAAAAAAACAATAATAATTGAATTAGAGTTACTTGATAAAGACAATTCATTACGATATCATACGGATACATATGGTATGTTCAAATACATTTAGGTATAATATTATAAATAAAGACCAGATAATACGTATTTACAAACAAATAAAACACAATAATATCGCCAATTTTTCTGGATAATTCGTATTTAATTTTAAAATTACAAATTTAAAAACTTAATAACGACAACAAAAACTAACTATTTATCAAATTAATATTGCATATATCAAGATTTTTTTTATGCAAGCATATTTGCAAATTTTTATGTTGCATTAAATGATAAATCCCGCCAACTAAAATAAGGTACCCAGAGCATCCCAGAGCACCCAGAGCAGTACCCGACGCGACGTTGGCTTACAGCGAGCGCACTTTCGACCATCACTGGTGCAACATTTAATTAACATTGCTATTATCACTCATTAAGAGGATTGTGAAGTGCCGATACGCGGCGAGAGTAGGTATTTTTAAAAATGCTATCTGTTTCATACCGCTTTGCATCCCCCCGGCAGTGAACAACACAAATACAACATACGCAAATTCTCACACACACTATGATAGCAGCAGCCGGTGACGCGCAGGCGCTTGCGGGGGGCGGGGGCGGGGGCGGCGCGACTCGGCGCAAGAGCAATTTCAAAGTTTATCTAATATTTATTATTTTAACGGTTTGCGTACAATATACATTCCCTACAAGTTATATCGCACCTTTATTCATAAACTGAAATAACTCTAAATTACAATTCTGTGGCGAATATCATTTAAAATTTGACTTGTTTAGATTGATGACTTCAAAAAATCATAAAAAAATAAATAGGTGGTTTAGATCAATTACAAAAATCTCGTTCCAAAAGATGAAAGTTATAGAATTTTTTGTTGTTTATGTAGGTACTAATAGACCCATCGGAATCCTTTTATTGTTAAAATAATTATTTTATTAAAAAACCTGAAGTTTTATGATTTTATAATGTTAGCAGGTATATAAGGAATAGAAATTCATAAAATGACCTGATCATGAATGATGATGATTTACGATTTTTTAACATATCTATGACTAAATTTTATAAAATAATGAATATAACTAATGAATAAACAAGATTAGATTACGAATGATTTTCATTTCTTTCTGTAATTGCCCTAAAATCATTTTTTTCAGAAAAATCAATAAAATTAACTCCAAAAACTAATAAAATATCGATAATTTCGAAAAAATTATAACGAATAGTATGTGTATATATATAATTATACACATACTATTCGTAATAATTTTCATAAAATTATAACGAATATTATAAATTATAACGAATATAGAATTAAAAATATAAATTTTACAAAAATAAAAGTATTTTTATTGCTCCTTCTAAACGGTAATAGTCCAGCAATTAGCAAAAGAAAGCGCGTGACCGGTGGTGGGCGAGGGGTGGAGGGGTGTAGGAAGTGGTCCTTACTCATTCAAACTTGGCCAGATATAATGATGATGATGATATAGAAAATATTTTTATTTTTGTATGAAACTGAAAATTTAAGAAATATTTTTTTTTCTTGTTACAGAGGTTGTTGTTATGATGTAAATAGTATATTCCCAAAAGGTCTTCAGTAAATTAAAAATGACCCTGTATATATATATATATATTCAGTTTTGTATTTTTTCTCAGAAATGAGATATTTTCCCGCGGTAATGCTATAATATGTTGATCCGGATAACCAGCTACCACCATACCAAATTTCATCAAAATCCCTCCAGTGGTTTTTCTGTGACGTGGTAACAGACAGACAGACATACAGACAGACAGACAAAAATTCAAAAAACTATAGATTCGGCCTCTGTATCGATAATAATGTTTATTTCAATAATATTTTCCAAAAAATATTTAATGTACAGATACGGCTTAGTTACAATCTTACGAGTATAATAAAATTCTAAACTTTGGATTGAATCCTTTCAGTATCGATCGATATATCGATATTACCTTCTCCTCCCTAGGAGATAATAATATCGATAGCACCTTCAACATCACTACAGTCTAAAATATGCCCCTGCCCCCGACCCGTATGGTGCGATAGAGAGAGTTGCAAGTCTTAGACTCAATTACCTACATTTCCTTTTTGAAATATTGTTTCGGGCGATAACGTTTTCACCCCCCTAAACCTTAACGAAATGAGACGATTTTGGTCTCATTAGATTCAGTACACCTTAATCTAGGTCTGTACGTTTTCCTTTTTTTGTAATTCAGTTTAGTTTAATTTAAAAAAATAAAAACGCTGGAGGAAGTTTTTAGGTCAAAAATATAGATATTTAGATGCTAATAACTTCTGTCGTACGCAATATTTCAAAAAAATAAAAACGTACGGACCTAGATTTTGATTATATCTACAACATTTCCAAAAATTATGAAAATTAGACTATGTTTAAGGGGGGAAAAACGTTATCGCTTTTTGTATGAAAATTTACAGGTTCACAATCCTCTTAACGAAAGCACTTTGTTCAATGTTTGGCAAAAGCAAGCAACACACGCGAGTACCGCGTGATTTGTAACTATTCGTTTTCATCGTACACTTCCTTCAGCTTTCAGATTCAATTACATATTACACTTACATTTTTTTCACGGCTGTGATTTTCATACAGTAATCTCGCAAGTGAAATTTATACGTTACATGATAATGAGTGGTAATAAAACTTATATTATTTAATCGCAGAAACTCAGTATATAGAAAATATGAACATATCAAGCGTTAGTGGAACATTCTAGTTAATTAAACCTTATATTGGAATCTAATAAGAACCAATAAGAATGTTGCTGGAGACTAGGACGCACTTATGAGAAAATTAAATGCACCGTTAACAGAAACCAGTCTGCACGATGCATCTTGCAATTGCACAAGAATAGGGTTATATCTTCTACTAAAACCATAACATGGATAAAAAATACTTAAATTAATATCTTGCAAAATATAACACACTCATCGTATAATTTAAAACAAAAAACTACCATAACAGAAATCATTAAGCTATAAACTAAGAAAAAACAAGTCATTTAAATGGTTTTGTAAAAAAATCTATTGGCAAAAAAAAAACTACATAAAATGATAACAGAAAGACAGACAATAGGCATATTTATTATATAACTAAGTGGGTACATTACCTGTGGTCACGTCTAACGTGTACCCGGTCCGCGCGAGGATCTGTTTAATCTTGTCCTCGTCGGGCCCTTTGACCGGGACAGTGGCCGACAGCGCGGGCGCGCCCTGCACACCCGCTCTGCTTTTCTGTCTGAAATATCACAGTATATTATAAGTCTCCATATCTTTTGTGGCGTAAATCTATACTTCCATACTAATATTATAAAGAGGAAAGATTTACTTGTTTCTTTGTGCCAAATAAGCTCTGACACGACTGGACTGATTTTGATGAAATTTGATAAGAAGTTAGTTTGAGACCCTAGGAAGGACATGGGGTAGTTTTTATCCCGGAAATCATCCCTTACGGGTGTGAAAATGGATATGAAAGTTTGTATGGGGAATCAACCTAGGAACGACGAACACGAGCGAAGCGAAGGTGGGTGAGTAGCTTTTATTAAATTACCTATAGGAAACAAGCCGGTAATAATAATCGCCCCCTGGACGATTTCGGCCACAGTGGTCAATCTCACCAAGACCAAGCCATTTGCGCAGGAAATATACGTATATATATATATATTGCATAAATGTTCACGCAAATACAAGTGGACTCTATTCCTTTCACTCTCAATATCCGGATGGAACGACTGATTCGATACGACCGGTGAAAAATGGCGCAAAACCGGCTTTATCTTTAGTTTACCCGCCATCCCTACGCTACATCCTTGCGACATACAATGCTAATTTATTGCAATATATCAATATCTATATAATAATAATTACACTACGGGACTTAAACGTGTAAATTCATAAGTTGCTTTATACCTTTTCCCGACTTTTCAACTGGGTTGCACCAGCCGTGGTCACGGGCAGACAACCCAGTTGAAACGTCGGGAATAAGATATAGTATAGTCACTTACGAATTCACGCGTTTAAATCCCGTAGTGTAATGTAATCACTACTAATAGTACAAATGTGAAAGTGTGTTTGTTTGTTTGTCTTTCTTTCACGTCGAAACGGCTTGGCGGTTGGAGTGATTTTTTGTGTGGAGATAGTTGGAGGGATGGAGAGTGACATAGGCTACGTTTTACCGCGGGAGATTATTTCTTTCCCACGGGAAAACATAATACAATCCAAAAAAATATCATCAGAATTACTTGAAACTTGGTATAAATACTCTTAAATACAATTAATTAAATAGGTGTTTTAGCATTTTTCGAAATTCATCCCATAAGGGGGTAAAATAGCGGATGAAAATTTTTAAGAAACCTACCATTTTAGAATTATTTTATGTAGTTCTGCTAGTAATTATATAATTATGGAACGCGAAAATTTAAAAAGTTATATATCAATATCTGTCTTGAATGATTTGATGTACCGGGATGTAAATTACGTATAGCCTGTGTCGCTCTCCGGCTCAAAAACCCATAACTGTACAAAAAGTCACGTAAGTAAATTGCTACGTTAAAAAAAGACAAAAACTTTACTTCCCCATTAATATTGCACTGCACTTTGCAAGTCCCGGATTTGATTCCTACACAAAGTGAACCTACGTATTATTTATATATATATATATATATATATATATATATATATATATATATATATATGATTATCTTTTTTGGGTAAAACAAAACGCGTTTTATATATCTATTAAAATGAGCGAAAAAAAATATAAACTAATAGTAACTAGGTTTACTTCGAAAGGGACCGTGCGTGACCATGAATGTAAAATAAGGTTTTATTTTAACGTGGTCCTCATTTTAAAGCTTGGATAATCTTAGTTCTATAGATATTCTGGACAAATCAATATATGGACCCCTCAGTACTTTTATACACACACTGTACTAATAATGCGTAAACATTGCATTCCCGTATACGTATGTATGTATTTTATAGTACCGATATAATAAATTAAAAATATAAAAAACCCCCGATCATCTTGGACAGATTTTCATCAAAGCTAAGAACACTCCCGACTAATTCACATTTCAAACAAAAAAAAAACAAAAAAAAACGGGCTTTTCCGTTTGGGAGCTACGATGCCACAGACAGACAACACGTCAAACATATAACACCCCGTCGTTTTTGCGTCGGAGGTTAAAAACCATCGAATGGACCAAAAACATTCAACTCCAAGTATTTTATTAACTCAATTTTATTAGTAATATTTGCAAGGTATTTCATAATAACATTTTTTTGCGTCATTTGAGCCACTGTGGCGGAGACGAAATTTTTTAAAGCTTTATTACACTTAAATACCAGTTACGCTTGTTGTCGAGTGTCATTTGCCAACCCTAATTTTATTACAAGTTCAAAAGTCTTTGTGAGTTAAGATGTGTTGCTTATTTATTAATTTCCTATACAATTAAATAAAATTTAAATGGATAATTAAAAGTTGTAGCGTTGACTTCGAGGAACTTATATATTGGAATTTTCAAAGATAAAATGCGTGATGAAACTTTAAACGAACTCAATGTTACACTGGAAAATTCTTGTTTGCATTGTCATTCCTTACGGTTCGTTGTACAAGGTTGTCGTATAAACTTATAGGAGCTTGCAAATATGCGTCACGCAGCTCGAAGAGGATAATGACCACATGTAATCTAATCTTCAACGTTATGAATCGTCGCATGTTTAATGTAGGCTTGCATTTTTAAATATTTCATATAGTTTACACAAAGTTAGTGAAATCACGTTCATATACTTTACTCTAGTGCTATCTAAAATTTTGCCGCATTCCGTATAATCGCGATGCAATGCGGCAGTCATCTCTCCAAGTCAACTAGATGGCAGCACTCGTTAATAAAATCATCATTTGAAAATGCAGTTCGCAACACGACCGATAAGTGTCAAATCAATTTTTCAAGATGACCCAGATACTGATCGGGCAATTTGGCCATCATCCAATATTTGATAGGGTTGTTAACACATGATAAAAAAAATTTACTCACCTATAGGTCTTCATGACTCCACATAAATAAGCACTTTTATTAGATACATGCTCGAGATTTGAATCTAAAAATTGTCCAAGAACACTTAAAGCACCGTCGGATGGAAATTCTTTTAAGGCATCTAACGCACGCTCGTCCAACTCAGCGTGCGCTAGCTTTCCAGTCTTATAAATATCGTCGAGCTTGGTTGCTACCTGGAAAAGCAAACACCCTTACTTTATTTCTACATAAATATTTATATTACGAAAATTTACATAATCACATACTAAACAAACAGGTCAAAATTGTAAATGGTGTCAGAATATAACACGCGATAAGTATGGAATCACTTGCGATAAAAACGTGTCTTAAGATAGTCAACGCGATCTAGAGCGTCCTCAAGGCTCAAACAAGTCCTCATTAGGCTTTTGAGCTGTCTATTGTTCTTAACTCTTTACCTACATCCAAGCTTTTAAAAATAACGTCATAGGAAGAAGACTTTCAAGTTATTATATAGTCAGTGGCAACAGGCTTATTATAATTTTTTAAGCTTTGCAGGACGGTGTGAGTGAAGGTGAACCAGTTTTGAGATTTATTTCCAGTAAAGAACACAAACATGCTGCTGTTTCATCAATTCAATTACAGTAATCATAGGGCTAAGAATTAGTTGTAACAAGTGAGCATTGAAACTTAATTGAAAAATGACCCTTATTCTCATAGCTTTAAGACAGCCTTTAATTTTATAGAGCTACCATATTTTGTGTAAGTTGTGAGAATTAATAAGATTTTTTCTTGCAAAGGAATAACAACTTCACACAGCAAAACAGACCTGTGCCTTATTAATTACTGTATGAGAAAAAAAAATTGTATATTTTAATATTTAAAAGTACAAGCATCTTATTGGTCAATTGTATGTCTGTTACTATGCAACATAATTAAAAAAATCTAGTTAGAATTTTGCTAGTTTATTTTAAGTCCATATTGGAATACATTGCCAATTAAAAATATTTAGTTTTTTTTTTCAATATTATCAAATTAAATGTTTTACAAGTATAAGGGTATCATTGAAATATCTTAAAAATCTATAATAATCTGTAACTACTAGATCAAATTTGTAATTTATGAAATAATGATTTATTTGTTTTATTTTAGTAAAAAATGTAGGTTGGGTTGCTGTTATAGTAACAGCATTAAATTTAAAGTTTAAAGATAAAATCTATCAAGGGTCAACTAGAGAAAGTATATACAAATCCACTTCAAGATATCCATTGCATGAGGTAGGTCAAGTTATAATAATATTTATATATTTTATCAGAATGTTCTAGGTAACTTTCAGGTGCAGCAATACTCTGATAGTATTTAAAGTAAAAACCTGTCAAATATTTGCTACTCCTATTCACTTTCTTAGAAGTTATTGACAATATAATTACTTATATACATTTTTTTATACTAAATTAATACATTTATTCTTTATGAATAAATTATTTTCATAGTATTAATGTATTTTTATGTACATATTTTCTAATATATTTATAAAAAATATAAATCCTGTAACAATAACTTTATGGTAATATTTTTTGAATTTTGTACTATAAATAAAAATTTGCATTTCTTCTATAAATAATAATTATATTTACTCTCTTCTCTCATTTTTATAAAATAAATAATAGCACTATAACACTTGTTTAAAAATCTTATAAGAAAATTTCAAAAATTTCTTATAAGTTTTAAATTTTAATCTTTTGGATTTTTTAAATATTTTTATATAAATTGTAAAAAATCTATCCAATTTCTATTCTAAAGTAATATTCACTATTTTTTTAAAGTATTTTCTGTGTTATAAATCTTTTTAAGTTTTGCATATCACATGTCTCCGGGATGTCACTTAGTAACAGTAGCAACATATTTTTGGCTGATATAAACAAAGTTAATTTTTATTTAATATAAAATCTGATATATAATATAAATATGATACATAAATATCAATGTAAATTGATTAAATTAAAACTTATATTTACAACATGATTTATCTTAAATATTGTTAATTTTAGCATATGTTCAGTTTACATGAAGCCGTTGTTGAAAAAATTTTCCAATTAAAAAAAATTACTTAATACTGTGAAATATAAGTATGCTTTGCTTGACACGTATTTATTATCATAATAATTCTTACCTTTGGATCCAAGCCATATTCTATAAGTTTGGGGTAATCTGGTGTCCGGCCAACATCGGAGTCCTTCCCGGAGACTTCTTCTAAAGATATTTCTCCATTACCCTCCGCCATTCTGCACAATTATTAACTTTTTGAGCACGCACTACACTCATGCACAGCGACACACTGACTTCGCCACCAATACTTTTAAACTAACTTTATAATCAACAACCAACTTTTGGGAACTGAGCCCTCTCAAGCTTCAATACAGAATAAATGTAGATGATGTCATATCGAGAGAGCAACGAGTACGAAACAATGCTATACATTATTTGTCACTAAACTATTATCTAACTTTTTAAATATTATACATGTATATCAATATGAAGAATAATAACGATATTTACCTTATTTTACAATTTTTTGTAATTTTGGAAGAAAATGACAACTGGCTAATTGTCCGAAAAACAAAAAAACAAATGATGTTCAAACATAAGAAACTGTGAAACAATAGGATAGTGCACTCCTCATTCCATCCGGGTAAGGCGTAATTTCAAAAAGCGAATGCGTGGGTCATCGCATTCTTTTAGTGATGTGAAACAATTTTTTGAGCCTAAAATAAAAATTTAAATTACAACAAAAAAGTTAACAACTACACTAAAAGTCTAAACATAAAGGATATGCGAAATCCGGCGGTCAATGACCGAAATAACACAGAGTATACTCGGTTACTTCTTTTAAAATTGTTACACCAACACTTTTTAACGAATAATCACTTTTAAAACACTTTTACAATCCTTCTGTATCAAAATATAAACACAAGTAACTTTCCGCGCATAAAACTTTGGCAAATGCGAAACTGCAATAAGTTGAGAGTGCAACTGCATTGCACTCGATAAGAACCGGCCGGCGCGCGCCTAAATTTCCAAGAAGAATCCAATTGGAATATGCACATAGGATGCCAGAAGATAGAAAACACTATAACACACAATCACTGTACAATACAAACGACCTGGAACACTGTACACGAAAATAATTACCTATTAATTTTGCTAGTTGGTGGCCGAGACAGATATGGCGGCACCGCGCGACGTCAACGTGATCGCCAGTACGGGGTTCTCATAACGACGCGCGGGACATGCAACGAGGAGTGCATTCAAACTTTGAAAGACAAGTTATTTTTTTTTTAAAGTTTAAAGAATCTCTCTGTTTTCAGAATGAATGCGACCGCAGCGAGTGATGAGATATTTTTATTGCACAGAGAGTTTTTGCAATGATTGCGAATAATTTTGAATGTGAAAGAGCGCGGCGCGTCGCGCAAGGCTGCCGGCCGCGAGGTGAGACAGGCTAGCGGCAAGACGGCGGCGAGTGAGAAGCCGAGAGCGAAGGGGGGAGGGTGTTGCAACCGGCGGTGCAGGCGTGCAGCAGCGACGACGCCGCACCGAGCTCGCTTGCATACTTGCATACACACTCACACTTGCAAACCCTCTGACCTTCGTTACTTGTAAGTCGTAATCGATTCACTGTAAGAGTTTTGCCTTTGTTGCAAATAGTTTCTCTTAACTTTAAATAAAGATTTAAACTTAATGACTCATCAAATACTGACCTACCTGAATGAGAAAATTATTTTAAAATCAATTTAAAACTTTGCCGCCAATAAATTTTTAACTTTTATCTAGTAAGAATCATACGAAATGTATAAGAAAATTAATAAGTATATATTCGCAAATAAGAAAATATTTCATAGTATGAACATTTTATTTTCTCGATACCTGTGTCAAAGATATTGTTCAATTATCTTTAATAGTCTATAATTAATTAATAATATAACTAGAATCACGTAAGATACGATCTAAAAAGATCACACGGTTACTAATCGACAACGTCCAATAGTAGAACAAGGTTCATTACTCTTTGATATGGAAACGAAGGGATAAAAGAGTTAATCGCAATAACCCCCTTGCTTTAGTTCGCTTCACCTGCTGATTATTGAAGCCGTATGTATTCGCGACACATACACAAAACTGGCCTTCGTACTTCGCGTGTATGCGTAAGAAACTTGGATCTGTATCCGCCGCAATAATGCATATGTGGGTAGATACTTAGATAGAGCGGCTACTGCGGGTGCCTCGCTTTGTGCGGACAGAGTTCCAGAGCGGCCCTTTCACCGCGAATATGAATCTTACACGAGGCCTATGTCGCGTCGAGAATCGCTCACTACTTAACACAGACTCGCTTCACAAAGAACTCGCGTGTAGTATGTATGGTGTAGCGGCATGACAGACACACTTCCTTTCTCACATTTTCTTGATATCAATAGCGTTAAAGTATAAGCTGTAAAACGAACTCTCCCCGAGTTTCCGGTGGGTTAAGTCTTCTTGAGAAAGGTTTCGCTCACCTCACACGTCTGTTTTATTCATATCTGATGAATAGTACGACGCATTGTTCGCTCATACTTCAGCTTGGCTCTAAAAAAGAATAACATCCTTAAAAACTCAAAATGGCACATCACTATCTTCGAAATTTGACATATATTATTTTTAAATTGTTTAATAATTTTATTATTGAAAAATGAATAGTTAAAATGACAGTTATAATATAGAACAGCTAAAAACTTTTTAAACAAATCGTAAATGCTTTTTGTTCATTGAAATGTTTTATGGAAGCGCTCATTGCAGATGAACATGAATTTCTTACTCACCGATTCACGTAAGGACCTTAGAAATAGCGCGAATCATCCGTCATGGACGTCTATAAATATCCATTTTGCAAATATACATAGCATCGCAAGACCGCGCTGGCCGCGGCGTACTACATTCACGATAAGGCACTTAGTGCGTATTTTAAATACGTCAACAGTTCGTTGACCCGCGCCGTTTCGCACCGTACGTTGCCGAATTTATTGTGTCTGTAGATTTGTGGGTCGTCGTCTCTTGCACTACCTGACGGCGAATGGAGGGCCCAGATGATGGTGACGTCACCTCGATTCCAACTAGCTGGTGTTTCTAGTTCTAGTTAATATAATACGGTATTCACAAAACGCGTACTATGCATTATAATACTTGCCCTAATCTAACCTGTCGGTATGAATAGTAAAGTAGTAGTTCTAATCGCTAAACATGTGTGTCGAGGTCAATGCTATTTGTTTTTTTTTTATAATTCAAGGGCAAAGATATTTAGTATAATCGATACATTCTTTCGTTGTCTGATTATTTGCAATTGTCATATGTTTAAATAATTATATTAAGATTTGAAAATAGTTGTGTTTATTTAAGCAATAAAAACAACACATTTATGTCCTTACTTTTTAAATAAAATAAACCACTATACCTATTCTAAGCAAGTACGAAAAATCAAGATAAATTACAATACGAGTAATATAAGCATCTAGCTACCTGTTTCAATTTCCATCCACAGCTATTATTATTTATTCTTGTTATAGCTCATACGGACTTTTTAAAGCGCAATTAAGCGTGGAATCATCTCATCCCATTGTCAACGGGGTTCTCGACCTTTGCGCGTATTCAATTCGCGTTAGATTGTTTTTTGTGCGTCTGCGCGTGTCATAGGCTAAATGTTGGCTGAATGGCTAAATAAATGATATGTTTTCTGCTCGTGTCGCCATATATAAAATATCGATACTGCTTTTATAGAATAATATTTTTTTAATTAATTATATTTGACTATAAAGGTCTCAATTCTGATTTATTTAGTTTTTAGGTAGGTACAGTATCTATTTCTTCATTGTCTTTTTTCCATCGTTGTCAACAAGCGCTAGCGTAATGATTACTGAATGAACACGCGTTGTCTTAATAAATCTGTATGAACATATTAATATATCTCGATCTCTTGTTGAAGGCATTGCAAGTCATATGTTGTATGTAGTCATGTTTTAACAGGCGAGTAAAATGATTTATTTACGCCAAATACTCATGAAGAGGTCTTAAAATATTTTTTTAAACTAAATAATTCTACCAAAGCAATAACGTAACGAGTACCTACGTAATACCAACAGATCATTATCGAGCACATCCCCAATGCAGTTTCAAAAGTTGGCAGCTTTATTAAAGTTATACCGCTTTTAGATGAAACCATTTCGTTTGATTGATTTTTCTCAACTAAAGTAAAATAGCACATAATATACATAACGTTGAGTTAGGTACATACACGTACTTATGGACAGAAAATACCTGCACTTTAAGTTGATTTATAGACAGATTGGGGACAAGTTGGAATCAAGCAAGGGAAATGCTATTCGAATTTTAATTTTATATAAGTACTAGTGGCTTAGGTCCTCGCTTCGCTAGGGTGCGTCCTTAGTACGTTTTTTATAGATAAAAATAGTTATTGTAAGTATACTTTACTGTAGGCCTTTTTAAGAAATATAATTTTCTATTACATTATTTTTATGTATCTCTTAAGGGTTATCCCGCGGTAGCCGTGTAAGCTTACGAAAACAATTTTTTTTACAAAACACCGTCATAATTCAGATATTTTGTATAAAATATTTCCAACAAACGGTAACAGCTCGAACGGTTTTGATCAAATTTTGTATTTTAATAATATATTTTTTTAAGTTTATAGGTATCTTTTCTGAAAAATCGCAATTATACCTTTACCGAAAAAAACGCCGACCAAAGCTCAGTCGCTAATAGATACTGAGTACTCTTATAAAAGCAACATATACAAGTGATAAATTAAAAATTTAAATAACCCCCGATCATATTGAACTGGTTTTTATAAAACATAGCTAAGAACACTCCCGACTAATTCACCTTTCAAACAACAAAAATAAACAAAATCAAAATCGGTTCATCCGTTTAGGAGCTGCTATGCCACAGACAGATACGTCAAACTTATAATATCCCGTAGTTTTTGCGTCGGGGGTTATAAAGAGACTTACATTTTACTAATAATATAAATGTGAAAGTATAGATGATTGGATGTTTGTTACTCAAACACGCCAGAACGGCTGAACGGCTGTGGATGAAACTTTGCGCAAAGATAGATTATAATATATAAATACTACATAGTAGCCTTTGTACTAATGTTCCAACATTAGTACAAAGGCTACTATGTAGTATTTACTACATAGTAGCCTTTGTGCTATTCCAGATTATACTAGATTAGAGAGAGATAGATTATACTAGTACCATTTTGTTCTGTTACGTACGTATGAACGTTCATTTTTCCGGTAAAATGTACAGTTCCCGTGGGATAGTTTTGTTTTTGTTTTTATAGAGGCGAAGCCGAGCGAAGACAGGGTGAGCCGCTAGTTTAGAATATTGCTACGTTTTGGTTTTTTAGTTTTGTCTTAAATAAGAAATACTATACGTATAAGAAATGCTTTTTCTTCTCATATTTCTACCGCTTATCTTACTTTGTAAGTTCGCAGGTATGAGGTAGGTAGGTACCTACTGCATATACCTACTTCATACTTTTTTTTTAAAACGAGAATATATTATTATGAACATTTAAAGTGCAGCGGGCTTATAATGTAAAGCTGTACGTGTAAGATGTCTAGTAATGAGTAAGTTCCTCTTAGGCCTGCCATATGGCGGGAAGCATTTGTTCGTGGAAACAGGAAGATACTTTATAATAAGGGCCACATTATTTTTAAGGTTCCTACATTATTTATGTGTTAACAAATATCTTTATCTTTACTTATAAATTGAAGTTCCCTTCATTGACATCATAATAACTGACCAATCGCGAATTTGGTAAATTAAGCTTTTGACATACCTATATAGAACTAGCGACTCACTTTCGTCTCGCTCGTGTTCATTTACATTTTAATTTCTTTGAGCGGGACCCTAATTCTTGTACTGAAATAAGAGTAGCCTAAGTGACTCCTTATAATATCAACTACCTGCCAGTGAAAGTCCCGTCATAATCGGCCCAGTCGTTTCGGAGATTAACCGGAACAAACAGACAGACAGACAAAAAAAAATAAAAATTGTGTTTTTCTTCTTATAAATACCGTATATAATACCATATACATTTAGTAAAAAGCTGTTATTTTGACATTACAAACAGACACATCAATTTTATTTATTTGTATAGATATGGCCAATAGGGTCTTGGACTGTAGTAATAAAATGATATGATGTTTTGTATAGCGGTAGTTTTTGGGGCTAGAATTCATTATTAAAAGGTATAATTAAATTAAAATCATGATTTTTCCTTATTTTTAACATAATTAATTATTTTTTTAATATCAAAATCACGTGACTATAAACGCCAATTACGGTGCATGACGTCACTTACCATTGTCACTAGTGTCAAGTATAGTATTATATAGATCTTTGCTAATTTGTTGTTTATATACAGTGTAGTTTCGAAAATTCAATTCTCTGTAATCTCAAAGTTTTAATCGTTTAAGTAAAGTAATATTTAAATTTACTTACGTTCCTGGTCAGTACCATGGCGAACAAATTTATTCGAGATGACAACTCAAATCATGTA